TGCGGAACCAGCTACACCTTGGGGCGCTATCTTTCAGTCTGCTTCGCCAAGAATTTCTTCACAGCCAGGGCTTCTGCTTTCCCGCAGTGCTGGAAAAGGCAAAACTAGGGAACCCTCGACTCCAGCCTTTCAAGGGTCGCGCCCTCCAGATAGGGGACCCTAATATAGCTCCCTAAATAGTAGGATCCTTACTATAATTATAAGGACCCCCAGAATAAGGTTTCTATACCTTGTATGTCGCCTGCGCAGCTGTCATTGGCGTGCCAGGAATGTCGTCTGCCGTCGTCATAGGGTGTCATAGGGTTCTACAACGTTCTGTAGTGCCTTCAGCTCCTAATGCGTCTTCACCTTGTCACGAGTAATCGCTTGTGGTTTCTGCTGTTGGTTGGACTGAAAAGCTGCCTGGAGTGAAGGGCAAACTGCCTAGGCCAAAGCTCTGCTTCTGGCACCTCCGATTAGCTCTTGGATCCGCTGAGTCTGGAACAGATCTTGGGTGGCCTTGCATGAAGAATCCCCACAAGAAAAGCGCCAAGGGTCCACGTGGCCTCAGTCCAAAAACAAGCGTTCGAAGGAGTGCTGACCAGGCTGTTGGGGCACAGTTTTCAGACTGTCTGGCTGGGTTTGGCTCACGCATTTCCCGCAGAAAGAACGAAGGTGTAGCAGACCATGCCGTTCTTACTGGTGTCTGGGACCCCGTACCCTTCCGAACTCGTTCGAGCCTGGTGTCAGGAGCCCAAAGGCCTTAGCCTGTTGGCTTCTTGAAGCTGGGCTTCTTGTGAAGTTCGGTTTCTGCTAAAACGCGGCTTCTCTCTTTGGAGTTTCTGAGGCCTTGATCAGGTGCCTCTCTTCGCAACCAGTGCTTTTGCATGCAGGCACCGCAAGAAAGTCCCCGCCGCAACCTAAACATATGCGCGTTTGCAGTGAGGACATGGGTGTCTACCCCTCATAATCGGCACCAGAGACATCATCATGTGCTCTGCTCGCGATCAAAGACGGTGTGAAACTTCGGCTACTTTTTGGTCGTGCTCCGTTGCATGTCTCAAGAGATTTTCTCGATCAGTGCCACTTGTGGCTACAACATCCTCGGGGATGCCTGGATCCCGCGACACCCCTCTGTGATGTTATCTGTTTGTCATTCGACGCTAGAGCAGGGACCTCTCGAAGTGCATTCTTCCAATTTGTCTGACTTCCGGTGGGGGGAAACACGCTGCAATTTCAGACGCCGCGGATTGCAGATCTCTGCTGCCAATTGCACCTGAAGAGTTTTCAAGCAAACTTGTCAGGAACTGCAGCACTCGCATGTTATGGTTGGTTAACGGTTAATTTAGGTTCAGGCGACAAACAGTCGAAGCATGAACCCTAAACAAGGCTTACACTGCAAGGCACCAAAACCCCCGAAGAGCGATCCTGAAGCCGAGCTTCTCCTTGGAAGTCTTGCGGCCAAGCACAGTTGGTCCTCGCTATGGCCCTCCCTACGCAGGCTCACAATGCAACTTTACGATGAGCTGTCCGACTGTCTACTCAGTGGATGTTTCGTTTGCCAATGCGAACCGGCCTCATGTGATTTGGGATGTAGGCAATGTACATTCTTGGTGAAGCAAGTGCTGATCTCCCAAATGGGTTGCTATTATAACTGCAATTCCAGTTCCATTCTCGTGATGAGGACATACAGCCACAGTGGAACATGAACAGCATGCCCACAGCAACAGTGTGCAACAAGATTGTCGCCCAGAGCAGGGTTTCAGTCCTCACAGTCCCCACGCCAGGGTCAGGTCACCATACTTCAAGCTTGGGGGCAGTTTACTTTACAAAGTGAGCAAGAGAACAATATACTGTCTTGCACGTGCTGGCAAAGATTCACTGTCTTGGAGCAAGAGCCGGGCCAGCTGTTCGGCAGTATTGAGTTTTCGGAGTCCGTGGAAAAGGTTCCCAAATGTAGTTCCGGTTGTTTGCCTGCATATCAAAGAATCGAAGCAACACATGGGGTACAGCTATAGGGGAGTTGCTGAAAAGGTTCTTGTGACTGGATGAGATGTCGCCGCAAAATGCTACATATTAACCTCGATGCTCAGCTGCTAAACTGCATCCGCCTGCTTCCCAGTTTCATCCGACGGCACATGCAATGATGGCACCTAGACATTTCCTAAAGCTAGACTCCCAGTGGGCCAGCTATGGTGCATCCGCTAACATGGTCATTTCTGGCAGGTTGCAAACATGCACCTTGTGCCTAAGTCGCCCAGTCAATGTCCAGCAAACTTGAAGCATCAAGTGGTGAATGATTAGCTTAGCCGTGGCCTCATTTTTAGATTTCGCACTTCAAAACGTGCGCTTTATTTATTCTTGGGGATGATCTGATTGGACTGGAGTGTTACCAAACACCAGCTACTGCACTGTGATCCGACCACCGCTGGAACCGAAAGGGCACCGGAAAGGGGCTTGTTCCAGGCTTTTTCCTTTACAAGTTAATCCCAAACCCGAAACCCTAAGCATGTAGCAACCCCGACACCGTTTCACGAAGATGTGGGGGAAAGTGCCACACCGAGGTGTTTCTGGCACAAAGCCTCGCAGGGCTCACCCATTGGGTCTGGGGCAGATTTCGTTTCATCTGCCTTGCAAACCTTCCCATAATGGACCATGACCAGCGACAAGAGTTTGACCGGCAGATGGAAGCGAGATTGTGCAGGGTACCCAGGGGTTCTGGGTTGAAAATTTTCAATGTTATAGGGGCCATGGGAAATCGAGTGGAAGCCATCATGGAGCGAGCCGCGCGCACTCCGCGGCTTCGAGCAGTCAGTCCCGCACTTTCTCCAGGCTTTGGTCGTTCTAGTCGTTTCAGTCCTGCAGAGATCACCAAAATGCTCAAAGGTGCCGAAGGAGTTCAGTGCCAAGGCGAAATGCTTGGGAGGGACGATGTGGTTTTGCATCTTCGATGAAGCGCAAGACCGGTTGTCCGTCAACGTTGAGCTGGCAGCAGAAAAGCTCGGCAGTCACGTCTGCAACTTCCCTGAACACCTCTGCGTGGTCTGGCGCTGCAAAAGCTGGTGCAGACCTGCACCGTGTTGCGCGTCACTTCCCCAGTCCCCCTCAAAGAATCCAGGAGTGTCCACGTCCTTTGCATGGATGTCGCCAGCAGTTTTTGTCCAGCCTTTTGGAAGTTCTTTCGGTTGCGCAAGGTCATGTTCCCAACTAAATCACAACCAGGCAGTCTATCCTCGCGGCGCAAAAAAAGTGTCTGTGAGCCACACCCCGCAGTGGATCAGATGCCGTGCAGCGACTGGGGCATGGTCATGTCCGGCAGAGTGTTGAGGCTGCACCCAATGTGGCACCCAATGTGCCTAAGTCCCGCCTCAGCCGTCAACACGGCACATAGACATAAGGATCCCACGTAGGAAACCAACAGCTTCCACTCTGTTGGGTATGACGAGGTGTGGAAAACGCGCTGGCTGTGCCACCAACAAAATTTCGGAAAATCTTTACTCAGTCACGGCCTTGAACCCTTAATTGAAACTTTTTCTAGGACCACATGAAGATCTGATCAAGTTTGTCTTTGCTTGTTTTTGTAGACCGCATGAGGGTCTCACTGTTTTTTCGTCATGCGGAAAGTGGACCGGGGAACAAGATCTCTCCGCCTGCGAGATCTGCAGGCGGAAGTTTCTATATGTGCCGAGCTTCCTCCCTCTTGTTTTTGAGAGTGTGAATGCTTGTATAGCTTAGCTGGCGAGTTTCGCCACATGCGATTCGGAGCTCGACCGGCAGATGCAAGATGTCCGCCGATTCCCCGAGCTTGAGCTTACAGAATTTGCAGGGCTGAGGCTTTCGTTCTTTGATCTTAGGGGGTCCTTCAAGCAGCGAAGCATGACCGGGCGTGAGAGAGCTGCTTGCCAGTGCGGTCTCAACTAGTAGTATGCCTGGAAAGAAGCAACACTCACAATCTCCCGGTGTTTCAAGACTGGAAGAAGGAAAAGTTGTAAACGCCCTTGGCATTGTTTCGCCTGTGAATGTTTGCTTGAAGCCAAACCCCAAGTCAGCTTTGGGGTGGCAGGGTCTCCAGTTGTGACTCCCCGCTTTCCCTGCACTCCTTTCCGTGAGCGATTGACCCGGGCCTGCTGCTTCTACAGCTACAGTTCATATCTTCCTCGCACATGTCTACCCTCTCTGCCGGTCAACAAGTACAGGCTACTGGAAGTTGTTGCAGCGGGGCCTTTGCCGACGGCAGCGCGACCAAAAGAACTTGTGTGGCCATGTGTGGCACTGAGCCACTGAACTTCGTGCTCTTTACGCCACCAACAGGCAAGCTTCCTTGCCTGCGATTTTCTTTACAACGCTTTGATGAATTCGCCCACGTGCCTTGGCACCGTTACAGCCCGAGCCACGATACCTTTCCCATGCTTCTGCGTCTTCGTCGGATGACCGACGATTGTTGACGTGCGGGGAGGCAGCGCCAGGGAAGCAAAGGAAGATGTAGAAGCCAGTGCATCAATGTAGGACGACTTTGCACAAAGATAGACATACATCCCCGATGGCAACTTGCAGGCAAATTTCCTGCAACCGTCCTTCTGCGAGGAGTCGATTGTAAGTTCCAATCATCGTCGCCAGCAGTCGCAAGAGTTGTTAGGGTTGCTAGTTGTCAAGGCCTTAGTATTCAGATGGCTTTGGTCAAGTCTTGGGTTGTTCTCCGTGCTGAATTTGGTATAGCCCTTAGCTTTTCAGAGGAGCCCAACCGTTTGAAAACAAAGTGTGACAAATTCCCGAAATGGAGAAAGAATGCTTGTGCGGCAAACTCCGGGCATGTTCGACCTTCCCAAGATAACAATGCAGCCCGTTGCAGCCTTGCATGCCTGGCAACAGTAGGGATGTTTGCAGACGCGCCGCTTCAATGTACACGGACTCTGCGAGGAGGCTGTCTGTTCTTTGAGTAGTTAGGTGGGGTCTGTGTGGCCCTTTCAGCAGGCTCGCACAGACAGCTCAGGCCGCAGCGTGTCGGCGTATGGCTGGGTTCCATGACCTCGGGCCAGCTGTCCTTCATCATGGCAGGGGTTGGGGGTCTCCAAGAAGGCTTGGGAGTCCTCACTTTCTACTTCAAACGAAACGACTCAGCCCAGCTGTCGCTGGTGCAGCTGGATGCTGTTGCGTCGCAGCTTTCTCATGGCAATGTGGTCCGGGGACACTCATCATTTGCAATGGTAAGGAATTCGGCACACTGGCTATTCTGGGGCCACATGCCCAGCCCCACCTTCGACAAGGTCCCTCGACCAGATGTCAGAAAACCTCCGGGACGCCTCTTCACGCCCAGGCCCTGGGCCCTAGGAGCTGAGCTGCACACATTTACAGAAGACGCGTGTAGGTCCGCAGCACTCGGGGCTTTTTCTGGGGAACCCCCATAGCAAGGACTATTGTTTTTCTGGTTTAAGCACATAAATGTATGGAGGATCTCTAGGGTGAGACATACCAATGTAGCCTGCACTTGCTGAAGCCACACACCTTGTCACTGTGTGCAGAAGTTGCAGTTGTGGTCAGTGCATACGATTCAAAGAAGCCTCAAACTGGGACGAAGGGCCCTAAGGCTCATCACCCTTGCAGTCTGATTGCTATGCTTTGTTATGCTTCGCTTGCAAGGCAAGTCGAGATGAAATAAGCTGTATGCCTGCAGGCAACCAGCCAGAGGCAGCTTAGGAGTTACAGTTTGCTTGAGGTTGGAGTAAAAGATCCCAGAACGGCCAAAGTGTCAGCTAATTGCATAGGTATCCAAGTAGGATGGGCATCAACATTGCTCTTTCTGTGCTGTGTCTGCGAATTGGTTTGCAGAGGCTTGCTTGCATGCTGGCTGCGCCAACCTTTGGATCTGTTGGTGCACCCCCTCTGTCAATGCCATGCAGTCAACCTCCACTTCACAAGCTACGCAGCTGGTTGACTATGTTGAAATGTCCCAAGCCCATCAAAATAGCTGTGCCTTCAGGCTTTTCTGTGGCCGCTTAAGGATGTTGCCAAAGACTGACGCGGCATGGTTTTGGCAATGCTTGTGCCTGGTGGCCCAGCGACTTTCCATCAAAAGGGGCTGCACAGCACCGCATATGAACCATTCGGACCCCTACTAGCAACGCAGCCGCTGGTGGGTAGGGGTTCATGCCGAGACCATGCGAGTGCCGCTGTATCAGCCAGCTTGCTTGTGTGCGAAATGGGCCCCGCAGATTTGTCGGACAAGCGATCAGCCGCATAGACTCGGCAACTTGAAGTCCAAGTTTGAGATCCCAAATGGCGAGACCGCCCTCGTCTTCTAGGGATGAGTATCAACATCGCCCTTCCTGTGGTGTGTCTGGAAACGTGGCTTCCTTGCAAGCTGGCGATGACCCTACAAAAGCTGCCAGGCCATGCATGCTGAAAAGGGATATTGCCCCAAGCCCATGCTGAAAAGGGGCATAGCCCCAATAATGGAGAATCAATCGGAGAAGGAAATGAAAAGCAAAACGGCTGGGTCTATTTAACGGTTTCTCGTTCTCCCAAACCTAACAAAGGAGAGATGCCCTCGGCAGGTTCTGTGGTTGCTTGAGAGTCTGCAAGAATCTTGAGCACTCTTTCCGTGGATTGTGCCTTTTGGTGTCCCGCGTTTCCAACAACTGACGCGACGCCTCTCGAAGAGCAGGACAAAGCAGTCGGTGCTTGTGAAGCAGCAGGTATGTTTCTTGGGAGAAGGGCCAAAAGGAGCCCTGATTTCAAGAATCCTTTGAGTGGTGCTCACTTTGTGTCGCTGCAGCTCAAAGTCACGCGCCCCAGGCGCGTGGCCCGGGCCTCTCTTAGCTAAGCCTTAGCAGTCGCCGGTGGTTAGGATTTTTCTGAAACCACGCAGTGGATGCCAATACATTGACCAACGTAGTTTTGGGCGAAAAGAGACTTACAGATGTGTTACGATTGCAGCACAGATGTCAGCTGAAAAAACATGCGTTGCAGCTGGGCACCGCAATCTCTGAGCTAAGGCGTTCCCGTGCTTCTGTGGAATGTGGTCTGTCAGCCGAAGCCATCAGCGTAGAAGCTGCCTTGCTGTACAGTTCTGCTAGAGCAGTCTAAGACACTCCGAGCTTTCACTGGGTGTGGAAGGGCAAGGCGCTGGCATGAAGCATGAGTGTCAGTCAGCAGGATGTCGGATCATATCCAACCGCGCAGCTGCATGTTTCAGTCTGAGATCATACCCATGGCGCCTGGCTTAGCAACAGTGCACAGTGGGACGATAAATGCGAGAGGCCAGTCCCAGGCGCATAAGTGTCTTGATAGGTGGTTTCTTGTACTGGGACTAGACCGCCAAGGTTGGATGCCCAGGGGTGGCCGGTCATGGAACCCCAGATACAGCTATGGCCTTGGTCCCAGAAAGGCTGCTGTGTGAACAAGCTGGCAGCAATGAATGCCAGACGATGAGGGTCCCCACCACACTGGTGTCCGTGGTGATCAGATTGAACTCGCAGTCTCATCCTCCGGGCGACACGCTGCCTGTGCTGCCAATGCCCGGCCTTAGCGCCGTAGTGGCCCAGCTCCATCTGCCATGAAGCGACGAGCATGATTGGCACAGCAGCCCAGATGGTGGTGCGAGTTGGTTGCATTTTGCGGGCACGGTCTCCGCTTTGCAAGGCTGGGCGGCAAAGAGTCTAGTCAGGCCCATTCCGGTGGAGATGCTTCAGATGCTTCGCCGCCTTATATGTTTGAGTGTGCATACACCTTGCCGTATGGTCTTGCCAGTCTGTTACAGATGATTGCACATGTCCGGGCGTCCTGGACCCCTCGCAGCGATAGTGAGCTCCTGGGCTTTGGTTTGGTGTTTCCAGTGTCGTTCGTGTATCTGCCGGACCGCTGTTGGGGGGACTCGCCGGAGGCCACTGAAATGGCTGTCGCATCTTTGGATGAACGCTCGCAGCTGGGCTTGTTGTGCGCACGGTTTGTGCGGTTTCCGGCTGGAAGTGGCTTGCCCTAAGTTCTTGAGGGGACAAAGGTCTGCAATTTCGGCGCATTCATGCTTCAACGGACTTCGCTCGTGCAGTCGTGCCACCAACCTCGATGGCGATGGCTCATGCTAGCTCATCAAGCGGCGGCCGAATCAGATCTGCGGCCGGTGCTGTGCACAGCATCATTGCACGGGCCCAGTTTCTGTGAAGGATTCAGTTGCGAAGGATGTCGCTGGAGAGAGCTTGCAGCAGGCTCCGGCTTCTCGTGCTTTGCCTCAGGCCTGCGTTTTCTTGTGCATCGTGCTGCCTCTCTCAGTATCACAGGATTTTGCAACCATGGCGCAATCGGCCTGGCCGCCATGGCTGTTGCATCAGCAGCTGATTTAAGATTGTGTAGGTCCGTGGACACCCCTTTGTGCCAGTTCTGTATTGATCGCTGCATGAAAGTGCGCCAGCGGACCTGCGAGGTTCGGGGACTGTGGCAGGTCGACAGGGTGGACATGGGTGGCATGACAGCATTTCAAGTTCATGAACTCCTGTGCAAAGCGTCTTTTCGCCACAACTGTTTTAGGGCAAGGCCTGCGGGCCTTTCCCCCCTCGCGAAGTGTTTGAACACGATCGGTGTGCCTTTTTGCAGCAGAATGAAAACAAGGCAAACTGTCATGACATCTGTGCGGCAGCTCTTTAGGTGGTTTCGTGCGGCAACATCGGCTGGTGTATTTCTAGTCAAGAATGCAATATGAAGTAGGACCTTCATAACAATCATTCTGGCGGGTGTAAAATTTGGAGGACATAGCGCTTCTGTGCAAATCATTGGTTCTTGGCGTAGTTGCTAGTTGCGATGAACATGCAGTATAATCGTGAACGAGGCTTTTCGAAACGGACTATCGTGGCTTTGCAGTAGAGGAGCAAATCTATACAATTCCAGGACACGCATTTGATGTTGTCGTAGATCATGTGGGAAAGCTTATCACTGCAATTTCGGCTTCAGTGATGGATGGAATCACCATTTCACCAACTGGAGTAAGCCAAGCACTTCACGGGCAATCTTTGCGGGCAGGGACCTGCCAGCCCATTCTGTGCAAGACTTAAACCCCCCAGCAGTGGACAGGTAGAGCCATGCGCCAGTCTAAGCGCACGTAGCCTTCAAACCGACTTTTGTCACGTTCACTGTACACGCACACGAATGATCCGCGTCTCGTGCGCCCATGCGTGTTTGGATGGTCTGGTGCTGATCTCGGAAGGTGAAGGGAACTGGATTGGTCACAGCACTTCCTGTGCTGCTGCGAGGTCCTCGATGTGACGGTGAACCACCGCGGCGCTTAAGGCTAAGAAGGCTTGTGTGGGTTTGCATGTTGATCCGTCGTTGCATGATCTTGCTTTCAGGACGCTGCTCAAATCAAGATGTTTGTGCCTCAGCGTTGCCTTCGCAGAACATGCGACGCTGCGGAATTCCTTTCATTGCCGAGGATTTTGCGGTTCGAGCAAATTCGAAACAAAGCCTGCGCACATGGCCAAAGAGCCAGATGGTAAGGTGCAGCTATTGGACGGTACGGAGCTGCCTTACGAGATACTCGGTGGCAGCGACAGATGCCCCTTGATTTGGGGACATGGCTTGGGGCCCACGGATCCACGTGGCATGGATCATCGGGCATGTGAGAGTTTTCCTTTGGTCAAGGAGATGATGCAGGAAGATGTGGACAAAGGTAAGGGCACATGGCCTTTCAGCACCGTGGTGTACGATGCGAGGGGTCATGGACGGTCTTCTGGCTGGGAACCCCTAGCAAGCTGCATTCAACAGTTTCACTGGCGCAGCCTAGCCTTTGACATGTTGTCGGTGGCAAGCAATTTTCAGACCCCCGCGACCCAGAAGCTACGCGGAGCTCTTCTCGGCGGGTATAGCATGGGAGCTTCCACGGCGTTGTGGGCGGCATATCTGTGTCCAACAGCCGTTCGTGGATTGGTGTTGTTGTCCGTAACTACAGCATGGGAGATCCGGGCTGCGCGGCGAGCCAACTTGTTGAACAACGCCGATGTCTTGCAAGCCAGTGATCCCGCTGCCTCGGAAGTGGTCAGGGGCGCTGCCTTCTCGGATTTGCCCCCGCTGGACGACTTGGCTGCTGCAAAGCTCCGCATTCCAGTTTTGCTGTGTGCGGCTCGTGATGATACGACACATCCCGCAGAAGTAGCGGAGAGGTTATCGCGGGTGCTCCCGAATGCAGACGTATTTTTGAAGGACACGAAGACGGAACTCGCCCAAGAGTTTCCTCAACATCTTCGCTCATGGCTGCAACAGCACTTTCAAGACAAAGTCACATTTGAAGAGTGATGCCTAACAGAGTCGATTTGCCACTCCCGTTTGCGTCATGCTTGGCATGCGATAGATTAAACCGCTGAGGCTTCAAAACGTGCGTAGACATTTTCCAGCATTGCAAGCGGTTGCATCTCTACAGTGTCCAGTTTGCTCTGGAGGTCCTTCCTCGGGAATTTGTTCAGTGCACTCCTGAGATTAAGTTGAGGGATGCTGCGCGTGGTGTTACATACCGGAGATGATAGCAACGACCACCTTCCGGATCTGCACCTAGATTGGACATCTCCACCTGCTGACTCTGGGTGCTTGGCTTACAGTCTTCATGATTGAGTTGATTGCTCGGAAATTGTGGCATCGTTCTTGAAATAGGCTAGCACGAGGGCATGTGTGCTGCCGCCCCTCCTTCAAAAAGGTGTGGTGCACGTGGGTCTGGATCTACGCCTCCCCCCAGCTACAGCTTTGTGGATGCCTTACCAAGGGTCACATGACTTGAAAATGAAATTGAAATTGAAAGACTCACCAGTTGACAGCTCAGGGGTTCGTTCGGGTTGGGCAGGAGAAGCTTCAGCAGTTGTACAACCGATTAGCGCAATTCCGAGAAAGCGTGCTGTCCTCAGCGTACTGAAGTTTGCAGATGGTGGGCTTCCTTGCATGCAAGAGACGACTTGTCCAAGGGATTGTGATCTTGGATTTACTGTAGACATTGCCAGCGATTTCGGTTTCCTGACAGTACTTGTTGTTTTGTGTTCCTGATTCAGCTGTTACTCAGTCGTTGTTTCTCACTAGTTCGACATTTGGGGTTGGTCACCCGTGACCAGCCGACATTGTTTCTTAGGTTCGTTTTTGGATATTTCACTTCTTTGCTATAGCATGGCAAGATGCTGCATTGTGTGCCCACCAGGACCTCGAAAAAAGTGGAGAAGGGGACGCTCTCATAGAGACGGTCAGGCAAATAACGGAGGCGGGAAGTACCAGTCGCCAATGGATGGCATAAGGAACAAGTTCCCGGTTCTGCAAGTACCCGGTAATCGCCATACTTTCAATGCAGGCGCTCATCTGGGGCGAGCAAGCAAATCACAGCAACATGACTGCGTTGGCACTTCAACATGCCCGAATGTTGTGAAATGTTGTGAATGGCGTGCACGCAGGCCTGCTTGACGCTTGCTTTTCAGGCCAGTTCTTTGACTTCTTTTGCGAGAAGTGTTCGCCTCGGTTGTGCACTCCTTGAATCGCTTGCGCAGAGAATGGCGTGCTGTGTTTGCGAATCATTGGTTCCAGGAGCATTTTCTCAGACCTGGTGCACGTCCTCGGCTTGAAGAAAGCATCGAAGAAGGTGGCCCATGCGCAGCCATAAATCTGTAGAGTGATTCACGTTGAAAGATGTCTCCTTGACCCCTTGTGCCGCCGGGGAGCAGGTGAAACTGCAGTTGCTGCAGACTCTGTCGATGCTCATTCAGAACATTCACCGCCAAACGCCGGATCCTCAGGATATCGTGGCATCAGCAGATGGACCGCTATGTTCGTAAATGCCAACTGCTTGGGACACGGGAGTGCGTGAAGCCATGTAGATCACCATGTAGATCATGCAGTTCCTCGTGCCCCGAATAGATGCACACCTGGTATTCAGTTCACGTGTGTGTGTGAGAGAGAGGTCCGTGTACTACATTTTGAGCAACAATCACGTGAATAAGCTCATGGCATCGCTCTCAGACGTTCTTCCTGTTCACAAATAGCTGCTGAATTGTGCCAAATGAATCGCTTGCCTTCAAGTCAACAAACATGGACTTTGACGATGAGGAGGTTCTCGCGTATTATATCACTCTTATGAAGCTGAAGGCTTAGTTGTTGAGTGTTGTGATTAGGGGATCTCAGTGCAGCTTCCCTGTGTGGTCCTGCGTTCGAGGTCCTTGGCCATGCGCCTGGATAACGAATCCATAAAGCCACTGCCTGAACGCATACGATGTCTGGGGTATGTGTAGACACTGATCCAGTTGGCTTCTGGTGCGGCAGGTTCTTCTTTATTCAGCACCCTGAGCCGAGTGCCAAGCAAAGCACATGCAGGGTTGGGCCTGTTCCGACACCAGGAAGGATTGTGAAGAGATTGTCGAAAGGCCGTCGTTTCCCCTCTACATTGAAGCAACCAAATTCTTCAGCCAGCAGCCTCAGTGGGAAGATCTCGTCTTCGGTTGCCCCTGCTATTTGTCATGGTGCAGCATGCTGTTGTCGATGCATTCGCTGCTTTTGCTTGTCAGCATCGCGCGGAGTAGCCGCCAGTTCCTGGCAACATGGCTGCGCAGCGTGGGGCATCCACCCCTTTGCTGGTGCTGCTCGCATGCGCCGCCTTCGCTGTACGCAGTTGGATGGGTGGCGCTTTCCAGAATAAGGCAGCTTTCACAGTGGTGGGCTCCAGTCCCGAAGGTTTCGCACCACCTGCTCATGCACCTCGAGCTGAGATTCCAACAGCCCCAAGTGCCGGCAAACTTGGCAGCGACTCGGGCACGAGCAGCGAAACGGAGCAAATGTTCAACCGCCACGACTACATGCGACGCAAGGACATGGGATACAAGTACCCCGTGGGAGAGGAGGCATACCAGTTTCCTCCTCCCATTCCTGACAAGCGAGCCGGCATGAACTTCCCATCTACATTGTTGGCACACTGCGACCGAGTTTACAAGAAGAAGTGGAAGGTGTGTGCCCGGCTGGCAGAGAACAAGCGCAGGCGCTCTGACTGTGAGTGGGATGCGTTTCGGTGGAGGCGCACATGCTATTGGAAAGCCCGGCCGAACACTCACAAGATCCACCCCAATTTCGACAAGCGCCATCCGTGGAACCAGCAAGCTTGACGGACGTGAGCACATTCGGCTGCACCTGAGCTTGGCCCTTGACCAACCCGAGCAGCATGCGAGGGCAGAAAACAAGAGCAGATGTGACAACATGCGGTTGCCATGAGAGATGCACAGGCACTTGCACTTTCACAAGGTGTAGCAAAGCAGCCGACAAGCCCTGACTGTATTCCGTGGATGTCTAACGGCTCAAGGCTCACATTACCAGTACCAGATTCGCTCCTGTTTTCATGTGGGACTAGACTTTGTCAAGATTACCAGGGGACCTTCTGTAGGAGAAAGGCTTGCCTGTGAGACGGCATTGGGTGGGACCCATGGCTGCGCAGCGTGGGGCATCCACCCCTTTGCTGGTGCTGCTCGCATGCGCCGCCTTCGCTGTACGCAGTTGGATGGGTGGCGCTTTCCAGAATAAGGCAGCTTTCACAGTGGTGGGCTCCAGTCCCGAAGGTTTCGCACCACCTGCTCATGCACCTCGAGCTGAGATTCCAACAGCCCCAAGTGCCGGCAAACTTGGCAGCGACTCGGGCACGAGCAGCGAAACGGAGCAAATGTTCAACCGCCACGACTACATGCGACGCAAGGACATGGGATACAAGTACCCCGTGGGAGAGGAGGCATACCAGTTTCCTCCTCCCATTCCTGACAAGCGAGCCGGCATGAACTTCCCATCTACATTGTTGGCACACTGCGACCGAGTTTACAAGAAGAAGTGGAAGGTGTGTGCCCGGCTGGCAGAGAACAAGCGCAGGCGCTCTGACTGTGAGTGGGATGCGTTTCGGTGGAGGCGCACATGCTATTGGAAAGCCCGGCCGAACACTCACAAGATCCACCCCAATTTCGACAAGCGCCATCCGTGGAACCAGCAAGCTTGACGGACGTGAGCACATTCGGCTGCACCTGAGCTTGGCCCTTGACCAACCCGAGCAGCATGCGAGGGCAGAAAACAAGAGCAGATGTGACAACATGCGGTTGCCATGAGAGATGCACAGGCACTTGCACTTTCAAAAGGTGTAGCAAAGCAGCCGACAAGCCCTGACTGTATCCCGTGGATGTCTAACGGCTCAAGGCTCACATTACCAGTACCAGATTCGCTCCTGTTTTCATGTGGGATTAGACTTTGTGACCTCTGTAGCAGAAAGGTGCCCAGCCTGCGTGCTTCATAGTCGCAGTTTTTTCCAGAATAGAGCCCCGCTGCTTTGGCGAGTGGCATGCTATTCGCTGGTGTGAAGATCACCGCAGCCTGATCCATCTGTGATTCTGAGAGTCCAGGGGTTCGACGAGCATGCAGCGTTTCAAAGTTTCGAGACTCAGCGCGATTCGCTTCGGCCGGGCCGTGCTAACCGCCCCGGATGACAGAAATGACCGACAGCGGGCGAAAAGGCATTGCCACTGCGGGTGCTTGAAGCGAGGATGGGACAGGGCGGGGCAAGATGGCGTCTCAGCTCTGGGTGTCCTTGTGAGGCATTGCTTCATTTTTGCTGAGGCCATCGCGATCACATGGTCCGGGCAACGGTGAGGACAATCACCTTGCAGGCTATTCCACGATTTTTCAGACTTGCACAGGAAGTGCAGAGAAGCGGCGTGAAGTTCTCGACCCGTCTTTTTGCACGAGGTCTACAAAATCGAAGACCAGCCAATGCGCCGATTTGTTCTTCGACACGCAGCAGAGCAGTTGGCCCAGGTTTCAACATTGCAGGAGCTGCGGACGGAAGAGACCACCGAAACTTTCCAAATAGAAACATGCTGCCCTGTGGAGTAGGTGCATTCCTTAGGCGAACCAGAGTACAAACCTGGCACTATGCAAGTGGAGTCGCTGATGTCATCAAGAGAAGCAGCACGGCAGGTCTTATTTCAGCCAGTCGGATGCTCGTTGGGCTTAGCGGCGATGTGGAACGGCCAAACCGGTGAATCAAGCCCTGCAAAGGCTGGCGTATCACTTGCAAGACCTGTGGTTCGCCACTCAGTGTAGCACGAGTTTGCTCCCGTGGCGGGGCTGCTGCATGTTTGGGCTAGCATCCATGGAGACCACATGCAAGAAATGAAGGTTGCGCCTCGATGCCGCCGCCGCGAAAGCGACTGGCGAGGACTTCGTTCAGAAATTGGTTTGACACGGACACGGTCAAAGGAATGAGACACTCCCAGCGATTAATGGGTGGCACCTGCATACTACTGTAAGCACTGCAGATGAAGCAAGTTGTCGTGTGATGCAGGCGTGCAGCACAGCTCGCCACTCGCTGAAACGCGACAGTAGATTGGATGTTGTACAGTACCGAGAGACTTGTGAGTTTCGAGTGCTGCCGGGCATTTGGTCAGCTACGGGTTTCGGAGGTGGGGAGAACCGGGCGCGGGGGGTGAACCGGGGCGGGGGGGGGCGGGGGAAGGCCAATGACACCCGTGTTTCGTTCGGTGCCGGTGCAGGACAATCTATCTCAGGTACAGCGTGAGAACGAACTGCAGCAGGACTTACAAGTGGATGTCCTCGATGCCAGTTCAGAGACGCCCTGCTTTTGCAGGACCTCCAAATCTATTTGTCCGATGTTTTTGAACTGGGTATAGAGGAGCTTAATGAGGCGTCCACATGCAACAAGTCTTTAGTTGTGGCTGTCCTTGGCGGTTTTCGGTTGGTTATGCAGCTTCATGTCACGAGGTCCTTGCAGATCGATTGCTTAATGCAGCCATCCTGTCCCATGCTTGGCCGACCTATGGCTAGCAGTGCTGCCATCCGAGAGATTCTTATTCTGAGGCCTGTTCTGCTGGCTGGATTGACCACTTCGTCGTCCCAGCGAATTGGTGGTGCAGCCGAAGCCCCGTGAACGCAAGGGCGTCGGAATGCGGCCAGATGACAAAGCAGCCAAGGCACGAACCTTGGCGCCCCATGTGTCGTTGTTCCTCGTCCGGCAGGTGGGGAAGCGAACCCAGGGTAGCCCTGAAGCTTGGCTCTGGGATGCTTTGAGCCGGTTGTCAGGTTCTCGACACCTTCCACTGCCCGGTTCTACTGGACTGCTCCCCTCTTTCTACTGCCGGTTATCAAGTATCTGCAATCGAGGGGGTTAGGTGAACACACATGTGCCCACATCACATGCGCATCGCAGAGAAACGGAATGCAGCTTCTGTAGCAGACAAGTAGCAGAAGTCACGAGCAGGAGCCAATGGCACAAGCGCTTCTGTGGTCTTCTGTTCCTGCCGCCTTGGCATATGCACCTTGACAGGATTTAAAAAATTCATGTCGCCACGCTGGCAGTCACTGTGTGGACTGTCACAGACAAGCGGTGGAGTTGCGGTAGTGTTGCGGAGATGGTGCTGAAACGGCTAGTGGTGGTGTTTCTGCCGCTGTTGCTGCTGTTTCTGGTGGTGCTTCTTCTGTAGCTGCTGTTGCTGCCATCGCCCTCATGGTTGGTGTCGCCGGCGGCGATAGTACTGGTGGTGTTACTGGTGACCACGGAGCTATCAGCAGCGCTAGCAGTAGTTGCAGTGGCAGCTGAAAATTTCTCATCACCATGTCCTTCAACGCCGGCCGTCGTTGTAGCCATGTAGTCATCTACACGTACACAGGCACACCATAGTGTGATGCCCCAGCTACATGTATACTACTACTACTACTACTACTACTGCTGCTGGTGCTGCTGCTGCTGCTGCAACAACTACTACTGCTCCTACTACTACTACTACTACTACTACTACTGACTACTGACTACTGACTACTGACTACTGACTACTGACTACTGACTACTGACTACTGACTACTGACTACTGACTACTAACTACTAACTACTAACTACTAACTACTAACTATTAACTACTACAACTAACTACTAACTACTAACTACGAAAACTAGCTACTAACTATACTAACTACTCTCTACTATCTACTAACTACTAACTACTAACTATAACTACCAACTACTAAATACTAAATACTCACTACCAACTACTACTAACTACTAACTACCACTAACAACTACCAGCTAGTAACTACTAACTACTAACTAATTACCAACTACCAACTGCCAACTACGAACTACGAACTACTAACTACGAACTACTCACTACTAACTACTAACTACGACCACTAACCACTAACTACAAACGGCTGCTACTACTACTACTACTTCTTCTAGTTCTACCGCTGCCGCTACTACTAGTACTAGTACTTGTACCAGTACCAGTTCTAGTACGAGTATTGTTTTCATTGCTACTACTGGTTATGGCAACATACGAATAGTAGGCGGCAGACGGAAAGGGGAAGAAGAGTTCTGCAGGTCCTCCCGGCACAGACTCATCTGCCGTCTGGAAATGAGGCACGCGGCTTTTTTCCTTGCTGCACCGTCCCTGGCAGTTTGATTACACCCAAGAGTTCTGCAAGGCCGATTATGTTCACAACCCACTTCAGGACCTGCAGTCCCTTAGAGTGTTCCTGTTGTGCTGCTGAGCTACGGGGCGCGAGTGCAGCAGAGCTTTCTCACCTTGAAACCCCGACGTCTCCTTCAGAAGTGGCCCAAGGCCTTGCTTGGCCAGCGCTACATAGACAGGTCATGGTGAAAATTCTGGCGAATGGGGATATCGTGCCAGACAACGACCCCAGGGCACAGGCTTCCGTGACACAGCGGCGCCCTCCAGCAGCGAAGGCGTCTGCAACACCGCCACCCAACCCTCCCAGCGGTGCTTCAGATGCAGGTGCACAAGCGGGCAGAGGCGGCTTTGCGGGAGATGTGGGTGACGGGGAGAATGTCATAGTCGGCGACCTCGCGCGGGCGTGTGGCATCTATGGGAAGACAGTGCACGTGATGGACCGCGAGGTCCCAATGATTTACCTCATCGTTGCAGGAGTACTCGCTCTGCTGTGGATCAGTGGCAACACCAATGCCATCCGCATGGGAGTCTTTGCCTTCATGCTTTATGTGATGTATACTCAGTACACCAAAGCACAGCGCGGAGGAGGCTTGTCGGGCCCTGCACCAGATGATAACAGCAGCGGCGGCCACGTCATTAATCGCGGACGGCCAAGATAGCAGAAACCTCTGAGATTAGTTTCCTGCAGCTGTGAGGAAAAGTGGAGTGTGCGTAGGTTTTCACTCGTCTAGCTGCCTCGCTTGCTCGACTGGTGGCTGCGCAAACTGCAGGAGAACTTCATGGCAACCTTTGAGTCGTCTGAGGCTCCCGCTGTGACTAGTGCGCTAGTGCGTGTGGTGCCAGTGCAGGCAGCTTGTTCTGGGAGGGGGGCATGTCATGCTTGCATGGCGGCGGCAGACACGTTATGCACCGCATGGCTCAAAGCTGTTCGTTCCTCCTGGCCTTGGGCTTTCGACAGCAATGACAGGCTGCAGCTCACATTGGGTTTGAATGCTTGAGCTGTGGATTTTTTTTCGAGATCTGGGTGTTGCAGGGTGGCAGGCGATGGAGGACTCCAGGCCCACGCGCGCAAAGAGGCACTTTGCCTGGCAACTTTGTAACGACGCACCTTGCATGTTGTGACTGCACCGAGGAGGTCGTGGCTTCCAGCCTGCTGCTCTTCGCAAGCAAACGAAGGCAGTGTAGATCTCAATGATCTTCTGGTGTGGAGTGAGACCTAGCGAAAGCATGCTGAACCGCAGTCCAGTGCAGGCGGCGACCCGCGATTGGTATGCCTGGCAGAGTTTGGGCTCGCCGCATGCAGCTGTGATGTTCACCTTGTCAGGATGCGGTAGCTTCGACACCAAGCAAGGAGGAAGACTACATGGGTCCAGAGGTATCGAATGCCTCCGTCTCAGGAGCTCAGAGCTGCGTGGTGTGAGGTTTTGTGACGCAAAACTGGGGCTGTGCGTGCAGGCTTCGAGGTTTAAGAAGTCCTACTGGCACCAGTGGCCTTGTAGTAAGATTCTGGGTGCCATCGGCTGCGCCAGCTCTCGGTTGTCCTCGACTGGGCAGTGAAGACTAGGTGGGACGTGGCTATGACGGCGACCAGGGCAACATAAACGCCTGGACGGGCGAGGAGCAGCTTCTCATCCAAAGTGTTCATTGGGCATTGGGAGAAGCTTGTCGCTTCTGTCACTTCGGTAATCTCTTCGTACTTGTCCTACTCCGGCTTCCGACTGAGGCTAAGCCCGCCACAGAAGGAACCCGAGTCTGAAACGACCCCTGTCCAGGCGCGCGTCTTCCGGCCCTTCTAAGAAGCAGACGGAAAGACCTTGAATTGACCTGTTGCACAGGGCTCGTCTGAACCCGCGGCTATCCCTGAGGCGCAGACTTGCGAAGATCTGCTAAGCTGCTTCTAGAAGCTGTGGCCACTTTAGCCTTGAAGGCCGGCAAGCGGAACTCAGGTGCGCGCGCTCGGAACCCGCCGAAACCCAATCCCACTCAACTGCCCCTGATGTCAGAAACCTGCTCTTGCAGGCCGAGCGAGGAGTACAAGTGCAGATCGTGCCGAGCGAGCAGAGCGTTCAGAGCGCGCAGCAAGGCTCGGCTGTGAGCTGTGCCGAATATTTCCGGCGAATCAGAAGTATCAGAGTAGAGACTGAGGGCGGTCCCCGTCCCCGCAGCCAAGCCGTCTACAGCCAGTGGAGAGGAGTGGCAGAATTGCTTCAGCGAGTTTCAATGCATTGCCGATGTCCCAAAGTGACACTCATCTGCCTGTGCCCAGAGGATTTTGAGACCTCCACCGGCTTGAGCTTGGTAAGAACGAAGTTAGAGCGCCAGCGCCCCAGAGCTTGCAAAAACACAGACTTCGGCTGGTGACGGCCATGCCGTGAGAGACAGGCTGCATGCTGAAAGATCACGAGCTGCCGCTGTCAGATGTGCTTCAAGCCAAGGCCTTCGATAACTCAGACCGTGCTGCAATTGCGATGTGAGGAGGATGCATCTTTCCTGGCAGGTTTGTGCAATCAGGGCCATGGCCGAGGCTACAGTGGCATACAAGTTCGAGAACGACGCTCGCTGTTGATATCAGCCAGGGCTGTACCACACAAGATCGCACGAGTAAACGGCGAACATCAGTTGCTTTTTTAGGCAGTAAACAAACATGCCGGTAGAGCAAAGGCGAAGCAGCTCAAAAACCTGCGGGACACATTGCCGCATACCCAGAGCTGGAGCTTCGTCTCAGCAGTGGGTACAACAGCATCACGTGCTGCGGCTGAGGGCTGCGGAACAGCTGCTTGGCATGTATTCGGTCTCCATAGCAGGGGCTGGAAGGAGGCAAACCTCGGGACTACAGCAAGTCAGGGTCATGGAAGTGCTTGTGGCCTCGCAGTGGCCGAGCCGAGGACTGCCCTGTGGGCACGGCTAATTCAGGTTAAGGAGCTGCATCAAGCAATCTCAGCGCGTGTGTCGGAGGCAATGCGGTGACCCTGACACTGAAGCGTTCATGCTCGTCTCGCATCGTCTCGCTTGGTGTCTCAATGTTCGTCAAATTGTACAGGCGGTCGAGGTCGAGGACTTCAGCAAAGCGGAAGAAGTCTACGAGCTTCAGAAGCTTGCAGAGGACGTCGCTAGTGTCACTGACGGGTTCGCTCTGTCTGATAGTATTTGGGTCTCGTCAAGTCCAGGCCAAGCCAAGTCAAGTCTGCTGTGTTCTTCATGCCACAGACGCAAAGACTAATACATGAATTTACAGGACTGTCTCAAGGGCTTCGAGCTGGATGAACGCCAAGGCCGAAGGGCAAGACGAAAAGAACCTGTTCTGGAATGCTGTGTACTCATGTTGTTGAACCCTGGCGGCTTCCCCACCAGGTGGATCTGCTGATTTGACAGCGGGTGCCATATCCTTGGGACCAGCCTCGTCTCTTGGGCTTCTCGAAGGCTGGGATGGATGTTTTAGTACTTCAAGATCCGGCTCTCGGTGCAGTCAGCATAAAGTCGGCATAGCAGCGGCAGGTGACTTCACTGTGGAGTTCTGGATGCGTTGCCACGTTGCTTTCCTGACGTTTTACATCTCACTTTCTGTTAGGAAGGCTCTCACATGCTGTGCTTTAACACAGGTTGATGTCTCAGCTCGAACCCCTGTGCTGACTGGCGACCCTTCAATGGTTGGAAGCTTTCCGCACCACGGTTGCAGCATGGAGACTAGCCTCTCTATGTTTTTTGTGTTCTCTCGCGCTTGGCTGAAACCCAGGCCTCTCTTGCAGGACATGCCTGATGACTCATGACCCGAGGTCCCTGTACGTGAAGCCGGGTGGAGGTGCGGAATTGTGGCCAGGCAGCTTGTCAGAGAAGGGACGCTTCGCAACACGACGCGTTTCCAGGTCTCCAACTTGATTTTGCCGGTGGAAATAGTTATTCCTCGAGGATGCGTCTCCAGCAGCTCCCCGGTGCATATAGAAATATGTGGGAGATCCATTGGAACATGGACCGTGAGCGCCTGCAACGCCACAGCCAAGGACAAAGAAGTGGATGCACGTAGCCATCTCCTACAGCTTCAGTCCGAGTGACAACGACTTCAAGGCGTGCCACGACAATCCATGCATTATGTCTTGGTCTGCTTGCTGTTCCTGGTCGAAATGCCTGAGTCCTTTTGAGGTAAGCCTTTTCCAGGATGGCTTGCAGGCCCTCGGTCGATAGTTTGCCGAGTTACCACAGTCATGGTACGATCAACTCTGGGCTCAGGTGGAGTTCGGAAGCGAGATCTGGGCTGTTAACATGGATTCTGAACTCAGGCCTGGACATGTCATGTCTTCAGCGATGAACGTGGAAGGCGCACGGCAGAGCTGTTGGCTTTAGGCTTGGTCCTTTCCCTGGGAAGCTGGCCGAGTTCCGCGTCTGGGACCATGCAAGGGCTGCGGATGAGGCACAGCCAGAAAGCTATGAAATGTGCCAGCCCTTTGAGCTTCGCGCAGTGGACCCTGTGCAGGTGGAGCTGTGGATGACTCGCCGCTGCCAGGGTGACGAGCCAGGCCTTTGCTGCTGTCTGAGCCTTCGCCCTTCGCGTTGCTCGGCTCAACCGTTTGGTGCAGTGCTGATTGTCATATTGCTACGTCTTGCATGTTGGACAAGCCGGTGCCTTCGAACGAGGTGGCCTGTCAGACTCGACTTTGGATCCTGGCAAGGCCCTAGCCAGCGGGCATTTCTTTGCTGACCGAGGGGCCTTTGACGGAAGCTCGTCTGCATGATTCGACGAGGGTTCTAGCATCGAGCACCCCAGTTGCACGCTTTAGCGCGCCAAGTGGCCGGCAAGGTCCAGTTACTTGGGATGGCGACTGCCCGAGTCTGCTTGATGATCCAGCGGAGGAGGAATCGGCTCACTCCTTGTTTGGCAGATGCATGATGTAATGTGTGGCATAGCTTTTTGTTGGCCCGGCGTCGGCGTGTCAAAGCGAGGTCAGCGATTGCAGGGAGTGTGGGCAGAAGTACACCGCCAAGCAGGCCTCTCTTCCGATTTGTACTCTGCTGCGGTTCAAAGGGCAGCCGTACGGGCAGCGTTCCGTGTGGTGTCGACTGGCAAGCCGGATGTGAACAGTTCCGGGGCTACTGCCACAGTTACGACCACCCTGGAGCCACACCGTCAACTGGAAGATGAACCTTGAGTTTCGGATCTGGGAACGTTGCAGTGCAACCCGCGAACGAACGAGAGAGAGAGAGAGAGAGAGAGAGAGAGAGAGAATTTCATGATTTGCATCGAGTGACTTGCGAGTGTCGAGTTGGGGATCCCCTGGCCAAACTGCGTCACCAAGTCTCACTCAAGACACGAACAGTGGCGTAGCGCTCGCGCGCAGGGGGTGTGGGGGCCTTCCCTACCCTCCACACGCTTCGCAAGCAAGCAAGCAAGAGAATTTGTTGCCACTTGGAGAGAAGCTGCAGGCTAGCACAAGCGCGAAGCTTGGGTCTGGGTATGTTTGGTTCATTCTCGGACCATGCCTTTTGCTGCTGTCGTTAGAGGGTGGAGCACCCATGAACGCGCTTGTGGGACGCTGCGGGTTGGAAGGCCAGACCCGATGTCCTGGCGGACAGCGACCCTTGGAGCAACGAAAGCCTGCTTCGAGCCTGGCAGTGGCTGGACAGTTCGCACCTCCGCTTAAACTTCCAATCCCACCGGAGACACAGATCTTAGCAGAAGCGCCGAAGCCCTTGAATCCTTGAATCTGAGGCACGAGACGAAGGCAACTGGGCAGCATATGTGGCATATGGCTGACAGCATGGGTGGGGACTTGCCGACTCGGGTGCCCTTCACTCTGTCATCCTGCCACCAAGGTTGTCGAGCGCCACCAAGTTGCAGTTGAACAGTAGTTGTTTTTCAAGTCACCCGCCTTTAGAGGCCCTTGTATCATCACTTTTAAGTGCTTGGGAAGACAGTGGCAGCTTCGCAGTGAGCAATGCTGCATGCGTTCATCCTAATTCCAGTGCGTGGGTTACACTGTGCACCACAGTGAGATCTCAGGACGACGAGAGGCCGAACGCAGGCAGCTAGAATCTGAAGCTCGTCAGGCAGGGTGCAGGGTTGCATCTACGGAGCTCGAGTGGAAAGCTTTCAATTCCTTCTTCGCTTACCTGCACAGGTGGAGGAGCGCCAGCGCAAGGAGTACTTGCATTGGCAAGAGCAGCAGAGACAGCAGGCGGCGCTGGCTGCTTCTGTGTTTCCATGTCACACTTGTTTCAATCAGGAAGAGCTGGAGCTAAAGAGAAGGGAGGACGAGGCTCATGAGCCCAGTGTTCTGCTACGTGGCTTGAAGTGGACCCCGCAGGCTATCGACCCTATCGGCCGAAGAGCTCAAAGCTTCGAGTAGGCGTAGGGCGGAACCCCCGGGGAACGACGGGCCTCTGAGCCATGGCTCCGCGGCTCGCTGCGGTTGCCTTCGGCCTGTTTTCCCTGGCGGAGGCGGCCAGGAATCCGTTGATGTTGCACCGATCCAGACAGGGACGTTTTGCACACAGGCGAATCTGGGGCTGCTTGGGCAGTACGCAAGCTACGATGTGACCCGGCCTTCATTAAGGTGGACTTCCGCCGGCATGTTTTTGCGGATCCTGTCTGCAGCCTCCCGTGCCGAACGATCCTCCATACATGGGGGAGAAGAGCACAATGACCCAAGACGTTGGCTCGATTCCGGATATCCTGCACAATGAAAACACAGTGTAGACGCCATGCCCAGTACTTGACCAGACACCGAAGAACTACGACAGGACCTACAGGAACTACAGTACTGGGCCGCCGCGCGGCTGACAGACCCCTGAGTCCGTGAGAGAGAGAGAGAGCGAGAGAGAGAGAGACGCCATGCTACACGTTACTGTAGTCCATCGCCCAACTTTCGTTACTTTGCTCTCCTTGCTATTGCTTTGATATGCTGTTTGACGGTTCTGAGGCCCGCATGCCCATCGAGAAGGCGGCTGAGATGGTACGGGAGGTGGAGCAGAACTTGCAGCAAAGTGCAGGAGCAGCAGCCCAGGCGGCCCACGGGTCAAAGAGCTGTCGAGCTTGTGCTGACCGAGACTGCAACGGGTGCGGAGATCCGCCAAGTCTGACAAACATTATCTCCATGCCTTGTTCAGGTGCAGGGCAACCCGCCGTGTCCGCAGGTCCCCCACCGATTTTCGGCACAAATGACATTTGTGAACACAGACTCAGGCGCCTTCACAATTCACTGCCGTTTAGAGTTTAGCGCCGATGCGCCTGCATTGTCTTGACGCTAGCTGGCTGGCAGGTTATCCCGCGAAAGGCCCCGGCTTCTTTGCGCAGGATGTGGACCTGAAAGCCATGCGAATGGAAACAATTCGGCCCTTCCTTGGGAAGATAAAAGGCATGGACACCAATCTGACCATGCTGACGCTGAGCTGGGAAGTGAGCTGAGTTTGTGAGTTTGTGGAGTTTCAAACCGGAGCTGAAAGCTGAGGAGCATAGGAAATCATTCTTGGGATCTCACTGGAAACAATGAGCCAATGTGCCGTGTACTGCCCATGTTTGGAACTCAGCGACTCTCGCTTGCATCTGGCTTTTTTACAACCCATCGAATGGCCCATAGCCACAGCTTTTCGGATCCCTGCAGGCTTCCATGACATGTTTGCCTGGGCTGCGAATCCGGCGCTGTCGGAATACGTGGGGCCGCACGTTGTGGCTGGACACAGCTGCGACCTGTGGCGCTTCCGTTTCGGGAGCCTTCTGCTTGACTTCCGGCCTTCTTGTGCATGGATCGCTTCGCATTGTCGGAATGTGCTGGTTGCCTAGTGTGGGGCTTCGACAAACAAGAGCAAATGGCAGTGAGAATGGATGAAGGTGCAATGTGTTCGCTTCGGTTGCTGCACACTGCAGGAGCAAGACCTTGAACCAGACGTTGTGTGCTGATGGAAATATTCCGGTGGAGCTAGTGATCTCGATCAACAACGCCAGTGGCATCTTGCTTGCAAGCACTGGGTACTAGTGCCATGACTGACAGCGATGATTGACATGTACCGCCAAGGCACAACGGTAAAGAAGATGCTGGCCAGCTACCAGTTCAGCCAAGTGACTTCTCAGGCCAGCTGGTGCGTTTGGGGCCAGCAAGCAGCCGGCTTTTTGTTTGGAAGGTCGATCAGACGCTTCTGGAGAAGCCTTCCATCTGCGACAGCCTTGCCCCGCCGTGCGAGAACGGGCGAGATGTGGGGCCGGTGACTGTGGCCGCCTGGATGAGTCCATGAAGGGTTTTACCGAGAGCAATGATGTGAAGCACCCGAGAATTCGCAAAGGCCGTGTCAGTGTCAGTCGAATCGCTGAGGATGCATACGTCTTCCACCCAGGCATCTCAGCAATTGACTACAACATAGAGGACGGTTGTACGCTGTTGATTGCTTCATGCGCATGGAAACTGGTTGAAGAACAACTGCGATCTATTCAATCTGCCAGCCTTGACAGGATCAGAATGTGGCGGATTTGCGAGGCGATGCGCTTTTCATTTGCATGGACTGCCTCCAGAATCAGAGCTCCTTCATTGACCACAACTACACGCGGCACATCGGCAGCGATAAGCCTCATGATTCTGGCATACCCGAGTTGTACCGTAAGGCTACTAGAGTTATTCGAGGGTACGAAAATAATGAGCGTTACTAACTATCTGTCAGAGATTGCAAAGCCGCATTGGCCATGCCATGGCTTAGTAGACTGCGTGGCGCTGAAGGATCTCTCGCTACACATTGCAGATCTCGCCAGCATTCGGCCAGTGCCTTCCCTGAGTGGAGTGGGTCTTGTTCTTGGTGTCGCTTCTTTCGCCTGTCACGGGCCGTGTGCATTAACTACAAGATGTAAGTCTGAATAGTGATGAGGTATGCACTTTGCAATGGCTATCCGGAGCAGAACTCAGTGGGATATCAGCTCCGCCACCTGAAATGCAAAAAAAGCTAGGCATTTCTTGCGAAGTCACTGCAGGACACCGTGCCACCTGGTCCGGAGTGTATGGGTGGTGATCCCCGTTTGGTTGGGAAGGAAGCGCCCTTCTTCGCCGGCGATGGAGAAAACAGGCTGGAGCTGAACTTAAGACCTTCAGGCTCCTAAGCCCTAGACTGGGCCTGGCGAATCGAGGTGCTCGGCTGAGAGCTCCATTGGTTTCTGGCTCCTCGGCCAGTTTGGGAGGCTTAGGCCAAAGCAGAGGCTGTGCCGCCTTGTTCGAGGTATGGCCTGCCGAAGGCAGGCCACTGCTCGGCGGGCGAAGTCCCTAAGAAGAGCGCGTGGGAGTCGGGCTGTACCTGGTCGATTCTGAAGCGGCACAAGACCATCAAACAGGCTCCTGACTCCTTCTGCAGCATTGCAGTAGAGACGGAGACTGCTGTTGGCACAGACTTGCTTGCTCAACGACCACCACTACCTGAGCTACTGCCAAGCAGACTTCAAAGAGGGCAAAGGCTTTCCAAGGCACCCGAGAATCCCGCGATGCTTGAATGGAAAGCCTGAGTTTCGTCGAGTGCAGTTCTACAAGTAACTCTCCTTGTCCAGGAGTGAGGCCGCATTGCTTGCAGCCTTCAGCTCTGAAGACGCTTTGTTGCATTTGGCCAGTTCTTCGCACTTGTGGAAGCGTGTCACGAACTGTTCTGAGGATCCCTCGAAGGGAGGTTGTGCAGACATCGGCGGGCCTGACAGTGATGTGGAGTCAACTTCTCTAGTGGTTTAAAGTCTTTGGCATCCGTCAAGACACGATTTCGCAATATTTCGCGCTTAATTTACAGTAGTCACCAACCCTCTGGTGTTTTCGGCAGGAGCCCGAATCCTGTATGTTATGTCTCAAGACTTCACCGCTAATTTTCAGGTGTGTTACCTACAGTAGTTGTCTGACTTTTGAAGCCGGCTTTTTGGCGAGGTTTCCCGAGAGGCTGCTCGTGTCAGCCACCTGTGGCACATGGCCAAAGGAGTCCTTTGCAAAACGAACATCATGTACCCAACAACCGAAGTTAGCAAAACATCAGTTTTCGAGCGCTTCCTCGCAGCTGTGGCTGAAATCCTTGAGGAAGGGCTTGCTCCATGGAACTCCAAAGCGGGCGTCCGCGAAGGCGGTGCCACGGGCGTCGCTGCTTCATAGTTTCACGCGACACGAGGACTCTTGGTCCCATGTGGCGAAAAAAGCCGGGCCTGTATGTGAACTGCAGAGGTGCTTTGCTGTTTGAAAGCAGGGCAGCCGCGCCAACGTGAAACAAGTAGTTGTGCAACACAAGGGCCACGAGCAGTCTGCCCAAGCCTTGCAAGCTCTGGGGTGAACACATTCTGTAACAGAATACTGATCCTGTCTAGCAGCTTCCATGACAGGTTCACGGACGGGTCAATCTGGTTTGGGCAACTCGTGTTCCATCCACTAGATGATGGATCCACCCGCTTCTTCTGTGCAGGAATAAGTTCTGTTGCACGCAGCCTGTTCCCTCGAAGTGCCATTGCCGAGTCCAGCTTTGTTGATTCTTGTAAATCCTGCAGCCCCCGCTCGCAACAGTAACGGAGCAGTACCTGCATGTCGTCAGGAAGAAGCGGCACGCCAGAAGATCTTGCAGCTACGGGACCGCAGAGAGTTCGAGAGACAAGAAGTAATCATTGGTGAAGCGGGACATGTCTCTGTCCCAGAAAGCTTGGCAGGAGCATGCGCAGCGGGCTCGTCGAATGCTGCTCGGCATATCTCGGCATCGGGTGCACCACATGTGGCATCCTCTGCCTTCGGCCCCTACTAGTGGCTGAGCCCAGAGGAAGCGACGCTGATCTCAGGACCCAGGACTCCCTCAGGACGTTGGCGAGCTGGACATGCCCATTTTCAAGGTACTGAGCTGCGACGTGCAAAGACACCGTTTAGTAGTAGTAGTCGGAACGAAATGCCTTGCTTTCCTGTCACGCTGGTTCAGAGCTGAGGCTGTCTTGCAGTTCAACCCATCAAGGTTTCTATCACGAAGGTCGATGGGCCCAGCTCTTGATCGCGGCGGCAGGTGTTGACAGCGGAAGTTCCTAGGTTAGAACATGCTGCTTCCAGACAGAGCTGCCGTGCCTCAGCGCTGTTTTCTGCGAAGCAGACAGCGCATGAAGCACTTCATTTCATTTCCAGCCGAACAGACAACAACAGATAGAACTGTGGCTAGCTTGAATGCGCCATTGCGCACTCTCCACCTTCTCAGGTTGTCAACACAATTTTCGTGGTACATGTGATATTTGCACTTCTGGGAGATTGGTTGCCATCCTGAGTTTTCCTCTGATTTGCAAAAGCACCCTGCCGACTGCTTGGTCAGCTAAGAAGTGTCCAGAAATCCCAGCAGTTGTGCAGACAATGCTTTTGAAAGCTGACTGGGCAACCTTTCACTCCAGACGTGTTCAAACACGGATCGACACCAGTTGTGATTGAATTTCATTAAAGTGTCGCAAAGGCAGCGCAAGTGCATGCCCAAAGGATTGTACATGGTCCTAGACAGGACTGAGACTCATTGAGAAGACATTTGTCAGCCTTGCGGGGCACAGGAAATAGATCCGCAGCCGAGCGGGTCCTGGGTCATGCATGTTGAAGCTGTGCACTCGAACCACAGCTTCTTGGTTATGGCAGTGGGTGCGATGAGTGGGGCTAGGCTAGAGCGATTGGGACGGCGGCTTCCTTTCGTTTCAGATGCTAGGCAGCTGGCCCTCACTCATCGAGACGCGTCATGATTGCATATTAGCATGGCTTTTGCGGCCAACCTGTTTGGCGGTCCGGCAAGCCGAGCATTGTGCCAACGGACATTGCGCAATCGCATTCTCGGAGAGAGCTCGTTTCCCGACAGGATCGCACTTTCCTCCTAGCGGTGTCCGTTCTGCACTGCTGCACCGTGAAGAGGACCCATGCTGGCTTATTCTAGAGCAAGATGGAAAGTGCCAAGAACACGGTGTTGGGAGACTGTTTCGTTACAAATTTACCGCTGAAGTTCTTTTTCGCAGACACCCTAGGCTGCAGGCTCTGTTGGGGGAGCTTTGTGTCTAACAGAAATGTTTATGGAAGAGCAGTGGGAAGCTGGGACGTCAGATGGTGGATGTCGTGCGGAGATAAATCTCTGCGGACTCAAGCGGTGATTTGTCTCCTCGTGTCGCCAGGAAAGTCTTCTCGAACGAGTTTCTATCGTGCATAGCTTAACTTGATGGTGCCACACGATTTCGACGTCCCCCAGCTGCCGCATAAGGACGGCTCAGCTGCTCCCAAAGCAAAACGAGCCGAAGGGCTCGCAGAGCCGCTCCAAGGCTCAGAGAGTTGCAGCTTTTCGGATCGTGTGAGGTAAGATTCGCCAGGCGGCCTCGGGAGCTCCAGAACTTCCGAAGCCCCTGTCCTTGCTTTTCCAGGCTTTGCACCGGGCCGCCGGGCCGTGTTCTCTGCGTCTGTCTTCCTATGTCCGATGCCATGCAGGCCATTCCTGGCCGACTGAATTGGCAGTCCCCATCCTACCGATGTGCAGAGAAGGGGAACTCGCCAGTGCGACTTTGAATTTGATCCATGTGGCTGCCATCCAAGGCCAAAGCCGTACATGGCACTGGCCGTTGGCTGAGCTCAAGTGATCAGCGAAGGGTCTTGGGGATGCTGTAAGAGCTTGTTGAAGCGAGAACAGAGACGGGTCTCTTCTTAGGTCCGCATGCTGCTGGAAGTGGTGCACGTACAACGCCCAGCTGTTCAGCTGCCAGAAGCCGGATGCGCCTATGCGCTGTTTATGCTTGCACGCACAGCTTCTCCAGGCAGAAGCCATGCCGCTTTTCGTTCATTCTGCCGCTCACAAGTGAAGCTGGCCGGTGATTCTTTCTTGTTGTGTTCGCAAGAGATTTCTCGCTGCAGTCCCCGACTTTTGACCGTGATGGCAGGGTGGCCTCGACTGCCATGCAGACTGTCGCCTCGCAAGTGCGCAAGGTCCTTCAAGAGGCATCGGAAGGATGCTCAAGCAGTGATTGCATGTGCAGCAGGAGCCATGTCGTTGCGAACAGCATGTTTCGCAGGCGCAATCTGCAGAGGATGCTGGCGCTTGGCTAGTGTTGATCCCAGCTGCTCTTGCAGCTGCAGTGGTGGAAAGACTGCCTTCGGCACAGCTTGGCAAGTTCTTCAGGTTGATGTCTTCTGTGAGGAGTGGGAGCAGCACAAGGCTCCGGGGCTTACACGACTAGCATACCTTTCGCAAGAGAGGTTAGAACCAATCCACTTTGAGTTGGCTCATTCAGGCGGGCTTGCCTCACCTGCCGGAGTTTTTTGCAGACCCACGGCCTTTGCCTCGTCGACAGACTTGAGGTTCATCATGAAAGGTTCTATAGTTGCATGTCAGCAATCGCTACGCTTTGTGTGTGAGGCGCCTGGCCCCGCCTGAAGGCGAAGTGACGTTCAAGCTGCATGGAGTTTCGGGCGTTGTCTGTTTGTGATGTACTGCAAGCATCTCTACGCTTGTCACAGGAGGATCTGCTGTTGGTGTGGGGAGGTGTGGAGCAAAGCGTCGAAAGGCTCAAAAGGTCATTGCCGTGCTTAGCTCCGTCTGCTGAGGCGGTCGTCGATGCAACGACCCAGCATTGTGGTTGCTGCGCAGCATGCTGCCAGAGCCCGAGAACTGACACAGCAGGTGGGTTTGCTGTGACGCCGTGGTCAGGTACGGAGCCTTCTGATGTGCAGGACATCCCTCTCGACAAGGCGTTTTACTGCCGGCGGATTGGTTCTGATCTTGACAGGAGGCTAGTGCGAAGCCTTCCTGGCGGATGCCTCAGCACTTTGGTCCCTTGCTTCTTTCGAGCAGGGCCGGAGCCCAGGTGCTGTGCCAAAGGCAGAGGAACAACCAGGAGGCGAGAAGGGACCAAGGGACCCCGGACCACAGTCGGTGCTCGAAGTCTGGGCTTCGAAGCTGCAGGTCCACAGTGGCTACGGTACAGCAACTTGGCGGCACCTGCCTGCTGTTGAGGACTGGTTCCCGACGGCTACTGGATCAGGTGACGAGCCACTGCCAATTCAGTTGCCGATGGAGGTCGGGAGCCTAGTTGAGCATGTTAGGGGGCTTCCTGCATCTAGTGCAAGCGTCTGGCCATATCCGTACTTGGTGTGCAAACGCAAAAGAGGCTTCCGGGCGACTTCGCGAAGGTGGCGTTGTGGAGCTCCGCAACTACACTTGTTCTGCCGGCAATGGTTTGCAGGGAGATGGCCGGAGCCAAAGAAGTAGAAAACCCGTGGAGTTGGTCATCTGCAGACCTGTATCTACATGTACATGCAATTTGGCATGTGGGACTGCCGGTGAGACGGTTCTGCGGCATGGAGGGGGGGGTGCTTTCGGGTCCTTTCTGGCCTGTATGGTGCATGAACCATGAAGGGCTTCAGGCTCCATGTTCTGCAGCCATTTGGGTTCAGCCGTGCACACCGTTATCGAACAATGCTTGGTGCAAGATGTCCCAAGAACCCGTGGAATTGCTAAGCGCTGGCATTCCACAAGAGGCTTCCGCCAAGTGCACGCTGCTTCTGAAACTCGACAGATTGTACTTGATAGCTTTCATCGGCGGCGGCGTGTGCTGACTGATCACACAGCCTTTACAGAACCTAGCTGAGGAAAAAATGTGTGAAGCTGCTGGAAACTTTCAACCCGAAAGTCACCACGGTGGATGCCTACATGGACGATGCCAAGTTCTTGGAAGATCCCATGATTGGAGACGTGGAGCTCAAGTTTATTCATCAAGTATTCTACGGCTGCCATCGCTACGGCAAGCTTCTGAAGCTTTTCGTCACGAGCTTTGCCTTCAGGGTCCCTGCCATCGCCGTTAGATCAGAGCAAAGCTTGTACCAAGTCTTGGCCTACCTTCTCTTCTTCAGGCTTGGGGTCATGATGGGCATGGTGAGTAGCTGTTGTGTCGTTGCCGTTCGTTGATGAGAGGCTTGATGAGATGGGCTTGCAAGATTTCCGAAAGTTCATCTTCTGTGGCTATGGAAGTCCTCCAGCCATCTTCGCGCTCATGTGCCTCCCCCTTGTACTGAAGTGTATGTAAGTTGCGCCTGCGTCCTGGAAGCATTAGCTTCAGGCAGTATGCTCTGGATCGAGAAGAACTAGACAATTGGGTCATGCAGGAATGGCTGAAGCACTATGACCCTGAATATTTGGACGAGGAGCCTTCGGGGGGAGACGGCACTCGGGTAGGGCCAGTCCAAGTGTCTCGGACAAGAAAGATCCACACTTCCCTTTCATGGCAAGTAGAGACGCGAAGGGGTGGGTCAACGATGTTAGTAGGATCGTATCCCTGGAGGACGTGCTGGGAAAACTTCATCGCCGGGCCGAGGATTTGAGACCGATGATGGAGGAAATTCAGCTCAAAGCGACGGGTGTCGCAAAGTCTGGTGGTCAACGAGGACCCGGCACAGTCAAGTCTGACAAGAAGCTCACCGAGTTCGAGCCGTTCAATCTCACGGCCGTGAAGCCGAGGACACTGCTGTCAGAAGTTCCTAACTTCAACACGAACTGCTGTAGCACTTGTCTGACCTCCGCAGGTTGATCCCTGAGCCGGAGAGTTCGGTGCTCAAGGACTTGACTGCCCATCCTGTACCCGCGCACATCAACCGGACAAGCCTGGCGGCGATAGAGGAGGGGAGAAAAAGGCAGCGTGAGGAAGAGAAGGCAAGAGTTGCTGCGAAGTACTCGATTGACGATGAGTTCATTTTTGAGACCGCCAATCGGCGAGACCATGAGACAATCAGGACGCAGCTTCTAGAGGATGCAGAGAAGAAGACCATGGCTGAGTGCACATTCCAGCCGAAGGCCAAGAAACGCATCATGCCAGCAGAGGATGCCACGGTGCGACAGAACACCACGCAAGTCCTTCGAGAGGATGCTCGAGTAAGACAGACAATGCTGGCAGAGCACGACTTGCTCAAACAGTATGAGGCTGAACTTCATGATGCCTCGGATTTTTATGCATGGCAGGATCGCATGAGGAAGAGCCCTGACAGCAATTGCCTGTATCTGTACTCCGGGGCGAGCTTTTGTTCTGCTTGTTCTCATAGAGTTTAGTAATCAACGTAGGGCTTGCCTGCAGCTGCAGTCTAGCAGTCTCTAGCAGTTACACGTAGCGTGTTAAAGCAAGGAAGGACTTTCTTGAGGAGGAGGCCCGCACGAAGGAGCGCATCATCCAGACGCAACTGGCAAGAGATGTTGCTGCAGAAGCACATGAAGCGGCAACAAGGATGAAATCCATCCAAGCTGAGTTTCAGCGCCTTGGCAGAAGATTCGAATCAGCAAGGACCACGTGCGGCTGAAGCCTGAAAGACATGATTGCACAGGAAGAAAGACTTGCAAGTACAACTCGTGCCCTGGATGGAAGTGCGTACGCGTTGTGCTGTACTACGGCTCTGGTTGATAGCTGGTTCTTTGCATTGACTGAGGAAGCCAAAGAACGAGAGATTCTTGACTGAGTGTAAACGTTTCCAGGGTTTGTTGGATTTTCAGGGGTTGGTGCTTGCAGTCTGCACTTCACACTCAACGACGGACGTCTCAAAAGCCTGCAGCCTGAGCATGTCGGCCCAGCACTCCGTTCTGCAGCTTCTCAATCATGTTGTTGAGGCTGATGCCGATGGTGGCTGTGATGATACTGGTAAGAGAAGGGATAAAAATCCATCTAAAGTTTTTCGGGTGAGAATGAGGATAAGTAAGATTCAGAGACGTAGTGCCCATTGTAAGCATAGCAAGAAGCAGCATTACGTGGAGCACGTCGAGACAAGACCGTGGAATCCCTTCACCCAATCCCCAAACCCGGAGTTTGGAGCTTCTCAAAAGCTGCACCTGGCATCGTGAATGACGTGCTCAAACCTGCTCAAGGCTCCGTCGTGCTGCCACCAGCTTTCGTGACACGTGTATCGGTTTCGAAACCTCCGCATGTAGGCACTGACTCGTTTGGGCTGGGCTCGGGGAAATCTCAGAGTTCGTAGCAGCACCAACCTCGGAATCACGGAGGTATGAGGCTGATCTCGAGCAGAAGCAGAAAGTGGTGGAGCAGACAACTGAAGACAGAGAGAAGGCAAGACGGCACCATGTGCAGCAGGAAGAGACCTGATGCGAAATTTGATTTTAGCTGCTCTTGCATCCCTTTGTGCTATGATTGCGGTTATTTCTACACAGCTGGATATTCAGTATGAGTATTTAAATGTAATCGAACCAAGTTCAAATTAAAGTTACATTGCGCTATAGCATGTATATCCTATCATGGTACGTTACATTGCCGTACTACGTACACACTGCGGGGATAGATGGGCACATATACATACACACACACACGGAAATATACACCTAAGTATCTATCTGTAAATACATATATGAAGATACCTACGGGCATAAGGAAGACTATAAACACATACTTAAACTTGTTATACACGAGTGACATATATATATATATACACACACCATGTACTTGTTCAAGTTCGTATGTACGCACACACGGCCATGCACACACTTATACTTGTAAGTGTGTGTATATGTATTTATATGTGTGTACATATGTATACGACATGTATTTATATATGTATATATATATATATGTATATATGTATATATATGTACACATATATATATATATATATATATATATATACATATGTATGTACACATGTGTATGCATATGCATAAGCACACACAAATACACAGGCACCTGTATACAGACGTACTTTCACACATGCGTACATACATACATCCATGCATGCATACATACATGCATGCGTACTTTACAGTACAGTTCATTACATGAGATGCCGTGCACGCACATGCACGCGCACACACACACACGCACACACACACACACACACACACACACACACACACACACACACACACACACACACACACACACACACACACACACACACACACACACACACACACACACACACACACACATGCACGCACGCGCAGAGTGCCGTCCATTTACCACACCGTTTGTCTGGTAATCTACAGGTCGAACGATCCATGTATATCCATGTACCTATGTATCTGCCTGGCTGCATCTACATTGATTGACATATAAGGGCATGAGTCATGTGCTCTCGGTGCGGCCAGGCCCGCATTGCTGAGCAGGAGGTTCTCGTAATCAAGCAGGAGCATGCTGAGCGGCCTGGCAGCAGCGGCAGCAGCTGTCGAGTATTCAGCCTGCACCGGCTTCGAAAGGCAGCGACGCAGAGAGAAGGAGGTTGATTTGGCAAAGAAGAAAAGGGAAGAGGACTACGAGATGGAGCGTGGCATGGATGTAATTCCCAGCAGTAGCTTTTGCGCCGATGTAAGAAGAACTCCTGCACATGTCTCTGAGGCAAGAAAGAGCTCATTCGTCAAATCCGAGCTTTGGAGCGTGCTCCGCGTGAGACAGCGAAGGTCTTCGACCGTGCTGAGGCGAGAGGTGACACAATTTTGAAAACTGAAACCGTGAGTCGTGAGTCTCGTACATTCGATTGAGGCCCCCGCCCAGGGATTCCTGGAGGAGATGTCCTTCGCTGAGCTGAAGGAACGGCTGGTTGTCATGCAAGCGCAGCACGAGAGGCGCCAGCACGGGAGGGCCAGGCTGTGGCTTTCCGAGCAATATGGGAGTTTCCGAACATAGGGGTACCTTATTCCGGGGTCCTTTTTCTAAGGACCCTACTATTTGGGATGCTATTATATTAGGGTCCCCTATTTTCGGAAACCCCATGCCATACAATGCTGGAAGCGCCTGAGGCGCGTGGAGGCGAAGCGCGAAAGGCAGTTGGCCAAGAAGGCAGGGCATGGCATGGACCAGCTTAGGTGTTCGGCAGCGTGCATCTTGAGCAGCAAGAAGCTTTTGGGCTCAACATCCTCCAGCATGTTTGGCCACACCGCAAGAAGTATTCCGAGCCCCAGGCTTTTGTCCTCCAGCATTGCAGATCCAGAAAGCTTGCTTGCGGCTGCCGCCCGGGTTGCCGTTGACAAAGTCTTGCAAGGTACGCCTCATGAAGTCGCGTTCGCAGTTATCTCGCGAACTTTACAGCCAAATTTCGAGAAGTTCTGCAAGGAGCTCTTCGATGTTTGGGGAATCGGCCGCAAGACGGTCCACGACGGAGTTCTGTACGTTCTCGCGCTGCAGCAGCGGGAGCATCGCATCGTGACAGGGCGAGGAATACGAACGCTTCTGCCGGATGGTGCCTGCCAGAAAATACTGGGCGATGCTAGCAAACTTCTAAAGCATGGCGACGTGGATGCAGCAGTTGAAATGGTGGCTCGCGGTATTGTCAATGCCATTTGGTGGCGGAAAGTGTGGCGCCGACTGAGACCGATTGCTCTAGGTGTGGCCGTGGTCCTTTTGATTTGGGCTTGGAATGTGTGGCGTAGATGCCGCGAGCGAAAGCGATCATACGCTGAACGAGCAAGCCGATTGAAACGGCTCGTGGATACCCTGGCTGAAAGATCGTCCAGCGAGAACCTCGAGACCACGGTCTGTCCCGTTTGTTTGGACTGCTTGAGCGATTCGGCCTTACAGGCCAGGGATTTTCTCGACCCCAAGAGGCAGACAGGCCTGGTTGGCAATGTCGAGCTGCTGCGGTGTGGGCATCTGGCTCATGAGCGCTGTGTGTCGGAATGGTTCAACCACTCCAGAAGCTGTCCTCTGTGCAGAGCCGACAGCCCTCGCTTGAGAGATCAGACAGGGACAGGGACAGCTCCGGTCGTCCTCAACTTGGCCTCGGCAGATACGGTGCGGCAGCTCCGAGAAGCATTAGACCGGCAGTTCCAAGATCTCGGGGTGTCCGAGCAACAGGAGCTGTGGCAGCAGCACTTCGAGGGACGGTGCCGGACACCGAACCGGGGCTCCTGCTGCAAGCCGGAATGCAGCCCCAGCGCGGAAGTAAGTGTTCGCGGCTTTGGAGGCGGATCCTGTGAAGGAGGAGGAGGTGCGGGCGGAAGTTGGTAGAAGCACCGGCAAGATGCCATCGCCCAATCATGCGTAAGAAAGAGGGTGTCTGTGCTTATGTATTTTCCCTCTACGAGGCAGGCAGAGGTTTCATAGAACAAGCAAAAAGCCTGGAGAGGCATCGAGACGTAGAGCGAGGGACCCTGTGGAGAGAGAGAGAGAGAGAGAGAGAGAGAGAGAGAGAGAGCAACTAACGCAAAACGATAGTAAGCTGTGGTAACAAATGACAAACACGAATTCGCTACACCACCTGAAGGTAACATGGGACCTGTAGTGGAATCGCAGTCCTCTTTGCACTACGTTGCGCTGTCCTTTACCCTGCATCGAGGTTACTCTATGTGACGTCAAACTGCAGGTGCAATGCAGTGTATCCTAGTACGTACCTCTGTCACTGTCTGGTGGCAGTTCTGGATTTTTGTTTCTCGAGACGATCCTGTTTCATCAGCACAGGCTCTTGTGGATTGGGGAGCTGGATGTCGTGACGGGCTTTCCGTTGCTCGTAATATATCAGTTTGGTCTTGTTATTTCATGCAAAGGACCACAGAAGGCCAACCCTGCACCGCTTCACATCCACATTGCCCCTAAGTTGCAAGGCATGGCTGATGATTGGTGATGCACAATCGTGGTTCAACGGACTGCCTGTTCCGAGTCGAACAATATTCCGACCAAGTCTCCCAAGCATCATTTATAAAAGCTTAGCCGCTTAGCTTTGCTCACATTCCGAAGTGCTTGCTTCCAATTCAACGCGGGGTGCATTCTTGTAAGATGCAAACTGGATTTAGGATCCCTATGTCTGATTTTGTGCTCTTTTACCATTTGACAGAGTGTGCGGTACTGCAGTTGCCGGCTTAGTCTTGTTAGAACGGGAAGAATTACAGCGGAGAATAATGAGAAGCTTGCGCATGTGTCCTCTAGCTTGCCTGAAAGACCAACAAACAGCGAGAGAGCGAGTGAGAGAGAGAGAGAGAGAGAGAGAGCTCTCACTCCTCCTTGGCTGAGTGCAAGCAAGAGCGCGAGAGCGGGAGCGATTGCGCTCCATGCCCCTGAGCAAAGCAAAGATAGCACACCGGTCCGCTGGGGAATGCGCCACACTCCCTGCCGGCAGGCCGAGAAGGAGAGCATTCTGACTGAGAAGGTGCAACTGTTAGCACGGGTTCGTGAGCAAGCAAAAGAGCACTTGCTGGAGAGCAGAGATCACGCCAGATCCTTCCCTGCAAGCAGTCGTGGTGGATGTCAGTTTCAGCTGTGATTTGGGAGTCTCCAAGGAAAGCAGAGGGTGGCCGAGGAAGCCAAGAGACTTGAACGGATCTGCGGTGTCCCGTGGGTTGAGTTTGAGGTTTGCCTACGTTTAACTTCTGCCGACCAAAAACCCAGTGAACTGTGCGATCCAGCGCATGCACTGGATTTTTCTGTTGTCCCGGAAGCGCGCGCGATCATATTCACGACTTCTGCTCATGATGAGGAAAGACAGGCACAGGGAGGATGTGCTCATAGAGGTAGCCGCCAGGCTGGAGTCCAAGAAGAAGGAGAAGAAGGCGGCTGAGCTGCTGATTTCTGATCTGTTTCGGGGCTCTGCGACTTCTGTGTTCGGTCGAAATGGCATCTGCTGCTTCCTAGGAGGCAGAACGGCGATTGCGAAAGGAACTACAAGAGAATTCGAGTCTGCATTGAGAGTTGCAGTGGCATGCTGCAGTACCATCTCACCTGAGCGGCATTGTGGTCACGACGAGGTGAAGAGGCTGTAAGTACCTTAAACAGTTGGACTTTGCGGCCAAGGATTGCAACGAAGCAGCAGTTTCAGCTGAGCAGTCAAGATGCCCTCGAGGCAAAGCAGAATGCAGATCCATAGCCGCAATTCCTTAGTTCTGGTGTGTGTCGGAGATACTTACAGACTTACGGCTTAGTCAAAAATGCGCCCTGACTTCGTGCGTTGTAGCTAAGGACCAAGTCTCTGGCCTGAACAGGGAAGTCTTTCGGCGTCAGGATCGGCTCCTGACGGAGCAGAGGAAGCAAGACCACTTGAAGGCCAAGAGTCATGGCTTTCCGGACATTGGGCCGGCGCAGTAGACATTCCCAATTATGCTCAAAGGCCCAGTGAGCTTCGTCTGAGCACAGGCTCGTGCGAAGGATCAGCTGAAGAAGAACGTGGAAGCTTGACGGCTTCCAAGTGCCCAAGTGAGTGTATGGCTTGCCACAGCTTGCCGGCAGTTGGGCTTCGTGGACGCGCGCACGATCGTTTTGCCCAGGAATGTGATCACAAGAACTACTTGGAGATGCAAGATACGGCAGATCGGAGAACAGAAAAGGCCAGGCGCGCAGACACAGCATTCAAGCTACCCAGCAGATTCTGGAAGAACTCTGTTTTTCCCTTTTGTTTGTGCATGCGTGCGTGCGTGCGTGCGTGCGTGCGTGCGTGCGTGCGTGCGTGCGTGCGTGCGTGCGTGCGTGCGTGCGTGCGTGGGTGGGTGGGTGGGTGGGTGGGTGGGTGGGTGGGTGGGTGGGTGGGTGGGTGGGTGGGTGGGGGGGTGGGTGGGTGGGTGTGTGTGTGTGTGTGTTGGGCACGGCGGAACACAGAGAAGAACTCAAGGTTTCATCAGCAAGCGCACAAACAGAAGGGGGCCGCAGGCTGTGACATGCGAAAGGGACGGCGTCTTTTGCAATCTTCTTCATGTATGGTGCCTGCCATCCTGCAATCCTTTTTCCATGGCATCAGGCGAATCCCAGGGTCCCTGAACCTCACTCATCGACTCCATCAACTGCCTTGTAAATGGACTGTGAATCAAAATCCGAACGACTCAACTAGGTACGTGTGTGTGTGTGTGTGTGTGTGTGTGTGTTGGTCCTTTTGGCCATGTCCGAAAAACCCTTTGTAGCAGCAACTAGCATAGCTGCAGGGACTGACGCGAAGCATGCGGTTGCGACGCGGTAGCAATCGTCTGAGGAATGAGGTCGCAAATGCATATCGTCACGCGAGAGATCTGCAGCCTGGGACCCAGAATTTGTTGCATTCGGAACATCCTGTTGTCGGAGTACTGACAAACCGTGGTGACGGCAAGGCATTGCCACGAGAACAAGCACATCGATATGTGCCCAAGCACGAAATGCTTCAGATCTAGTTTATACATGCTGCGTTGTATCTGCAAGCGCCGAACCACATGACTGGGCGGCCAAGGTGCGGCCACTCGGCGAACGCGTACTGGAAGAGGTGTTCCAGCCTGCCTGTTTTGCATGCGTAGAAAGCTCAGAGCTTCCACGAAAGTCTGCGACTTTCGACCTTTCAGTCCGTGTTGCACACAGCGGACCAAATTAGTCGGCAAAGTCACCGCCTGCACATTTGGGAGCAAGGTGGGGGCGATTTGCTTGCACATAGAATTGGGAACTTGCAGTCCGGCGGCTTCCCGTGTCCAGTCAAAGCAAGCTGGACAAATTAGCAAGCTTGGTTGAAGATCACCCAACTGTGAACAGAAGTTCTAGTATCAGGCAACAGAGAGAAGGCGCATGCTTCCACTCCTTTGCATTGCGCTAAAGCTCTCCAAAGGTGTTGCCGATTCGTAGGCCGGTTGCACCAGTTCCGCTTGTTGAGCCTTCTGCTCTTTGCTTGAGTCGTGATCGAGTGCAGACGGGCTTGTCCTGCTCTTGCTGCGGAACTGTCGTGCTTCGCAGAATGCCACCCATCTTGAAGATATCGGTGGCATGTCTTTGTTCGTAGGACCTTCGTAGGAGTCACCAGAGAGTGATACATAGATCTGGGGTTGCGCCCTCGCGTGCTTGAGTCGAAAATGATTTGACAAGACAGGGTTGGATGATGCCGCGTGATTCTATGAAGCTTGTCTTGTGGTGTGGAGACGCCAGGCATCTGCTGTAGCGTGGCATCCGCGAAAAAGCGCAGACCTGAGCAACGGTTGCAAGACCTGCTGTGGCACTCCTTGGCAGTATGCGGCGATTCCGAGGGTGCAGCGTCAGTTGCTGCTGGATCCAACTTGGCTCATCCTAGCCGCCGAGACTGCATTGCTTCAGTTGGACTTGTTGGCCGGGCTTTCGTTGGGGTTTTGCGACAAGGCTGAACCTGATGTTAGCGGCAGTGACAGCTCAACCACAGCAGCCGTGCTCTCAGCCCTCCGCACAGTTGCAGTGGTGATGTCATTTACAAAGCCACCAACGACAGATCCGTATGTCTCGCGTTATGAACTCGGCCTCACCTGAACTTCCCTGCTGACTCTAAGGTGGTGACGACTGTTTGGCCGATTTGGCAGGCCACTGGTCTCCCTGAATGAGTGTGGAGTCGGACGGGTGCCCATTCTCGCGAGAACAGGTGCAGTCGCTGATTGACAGGAGTGATCCCAGGACGCTCCAGCTATCGCCCTAGCTTCTTGAACAAGACTGGTCACCAAAATGGTTGAAACCGCTCTGAATGATAGCTCACTTTGCCGATCAGGATTGGCATGAATGCGCACAAGCCTGGCATGCGACCAGGAGAGGCTATCGCGTGCGCCACACTCGCCTGAGCGTAGACTTTGTCTCCTCAATTCCTGAGCCAAGGTACAATCCGCCGGTATGCACGTATTTTACGCCAGTGACTTGCAGGGAGTGGGGGGCCCTCTCTGTTTGCATGCAGCATGTTTGCAGAAGGTTGACCCTCAACTTTGATGACGTGAAGAAGTGCAACGAAGCTGCAGTCCGGTCCTTTGAGACTTCACGCAGCGTGTCGAGTTCGCGTTGCTCGCCTGGGGCCGCTCATTAGTCAGGTCCATCTGCAGACGCGCCGGCGTGGTGTTCGAGGTCAGATGCTGCAGAAGGCGCCTGTGTGAGGTGAAGCCATGTGAAGCCTTCCTGTCTGTTCCGACTAGTCTGTGATGCGTGCAGGCAGCGAGCTTCTTTGAGCAATGCCAGGCAGGGTGCTCTCATGTGAACTTGCAACTTGATTTTTTGAGGTGTTGTGCTGGGGCAAGTTGTGCCACCAGCTCTTTTGGTTCGCGCTAGACGCATCGTACGAGTTGAGACAGGGTAAGAAAACCCGATTTTTTCGGCCCTTGACGACGATTCACGTGACTGAAGTACAGGGAGGACGAATGTATGTCTGCATGCATCCCTTGACCTTGTGTTTCTTACAATGCAAGTACTTGCCCATGCTGGCTGATGACCTTGCTGCCGATCCATTGCTTGTCATCTTGGCCCTGGTGTTCGTTGACGCTTATGACTGTGTACTAGGTGTAAGTTCGATGGCGCTTGTGATTACGTACTACATGTAAACTTAGTTCTACTGGTAAAAGTCATTGATAGTAGTAGTCGTGGTCGTAGTGGTAGGAAGAGTAGTGGTCGTCGTCGTCGTGGCAGCAGTAGTAGTAGTAGAAGAAGCAGTAGTAGTAGTAGTAGTAGTAGTAGTAGTAGTAGTAGTAGTAGTAGTAGTAGTAGTAGTAGTGGTAGTAGTGGCAGCAGTCGCAGTCGCAGTATCCGTAGCAGCAACTGCGGCGATGCCACGGTGCCCGACGATACGGCCGGCAAGCTTAGCTGACCTGGCATCTGAGTGGCTGCACCATTCAAGTTTGAATGGCCCCTGCGTCCACTGGCGACTGTTTTGGGCCACCGAGCATGCTAATCGAGAGCATCTGTGTCCAGAGCAGGAGTGCATCTGACATGCTGCAGAAATCATTTCCTTTACATGCTCACTGTACATGATGTCTTCTGCAGCATGCAAACGACCTGCTATACAGACCTGGGATCAGAGCGCCAAGCCTCGATTTATCATTCAGTCTAGTGTCAGAGTTGTCGCATCAGTGCTTGTCCTGAACTATGTTTACCACGCAATTCAAGGAGCACATCCTGCCGAGATGATGTGCGCCGAAAGTTTGTTCTCGAGGTTGCTGGCGATCCTAGTCGATCGGACTGGTGGTGTCTGGCTGCATAGAGATTTAATCCGCACTTTTGCCAGCGAAAATGCTAGTAGCGACGGCAACCACTCACTCTATCACTATATCGTGATGACTGGAATTTTCATGATCATTACTACATGACGCATTCATTGTTGTTACAACTGCTTCTGTGCTTGCCCGTGCTTTTCCTCGGCTGTGGTGGCGGGGGGTTGTCGTCGTTTCATTCACATCTTCGCAAGGCCGGCCAAACCAACTCTGCAGACCATGACGCCCCAGTGGCCAGGCCCCCAGGTGTTGATGGCCAGGATCGGCAGCATATTTGTTGCAGTGGAAGCGCCGCTTTTCTCCCAGCAAGGCTCTCGAGTCCGTCACAAGCAGCATTTTCTGACCGGCGCCGACTTCCCTCCATTTTCATGCTCGTAGCTCTGCCTATCCGGGCGGTCACGTTTGCTTCCTCATGGATGCGCACGGGCGGGACATCAGTTTAGTGTGGCTTTCGCCCGGCCTTTCACCTTAACCGTCAGTCGGAGCCAACAAGTGTCCGGCAAGCCGGTGAGCATGAATGCCAAAACGACGACACAGCATCCCTTCTTCGAGGGGCAAGCTTACTTCTGATGGGTTCGTTGCTCCATGATGTGGTCTTCCTGTGCAGATTCGTCATTTGGCTTTTCCTGAGGGGTCGAAGGCTGGCCTCAGTTTAAATGCACTTGAGGAGGGACGCGCAGTTTCTTGGACTCCTGGGTCGAGGTCGTAGCATCGTCTAGCCGCTAAGCCATAACCTTTCCATGGGATGGGCACGCAGTCGGAGCCATGCGGCCGCCGCAGATGAATGCGGCTCTATATGGCTACGAGACGCAGAATGTCCATGAACATCCGCAGGAACATACTGCAATTTCGCAACTCGCCCAATTTCAGGGTGCGACGTGAGCACTCATGTGCAGGCTCAGAGATTGCAATCCATCTGCCCAAGATGTCGTCATGTTCGATCTGGCCAAATTTCCTGCATAGGCCTCCATCCGGGAAGCAGCACATGCCGGATCAAGAGCCAGCTTTTCCAGCCTCTGACTTTGTTTGGGTGTTTCATCTGTTGCGTCCTTTGAGGCTTTTTTGTCCCATTACTTTGCGGAGCTGTGTTTGCATGCCCGAGGCTGTTTACAGGGTTGGAGCTGCCACGCAAGCGGCTGTGACCAATCAGAGAGCTCCAACCTTTGGTGCCCCGGCCAATCTGATGGGCCTCGGCCTTGGCATTCATGGGATCTGGGGCCCGGGAAGCCAAGGAAGGTTCGAAAGCAAGGCGGAGGCAGCGATGTGGGAAGCGTTGGGTCGAGCGGCCGCTTGGCGGCGGTTAACGGTCGAAGCATAAATGTTCCTAAGATTTCGCTGAAGGGAAGCGAGACTTTCTCCATCCTGTTCTAAGATGCGCCCAGGCGATCCGACGAATGAACAATCCACCAGTTGCGGCTCCCTGGCCGGCTGCAGCAGCTTTGTTCAAGGAAAGCTAGGAGGGACCTGCACAGAATGGCAAAGGTTGGAGCGCCTTGTTCTGCGGTCTTCCTCCGCTCAGAGTGCACAGGCACTGGCTCTCACACACAGCGACCGCAACACGGCTGCCACCCTCACGCAGGCATCACACTTGCAACATTGTGTGCTGGACGCCATGTGTTGTCGATGAGTCCTGCTCCTGCTCTGCTTTTACCGCCTTGCTGTTGCTCTTGGTCCTGCTCCTGCTCACACTAGCTCCTGCTCTGCTCTTGCTCCTGCTAGGCTCCTGCTGCTGCTCTTGTTCCTGAACCTCATCCAAAATAGGCTTCGAAAGGCTTCGCTGGGTCTTCCAGGAAGTTCTTCACTCTCCGGGGCGGTGTTTCATGAATGGTGGAAGTGATTAGTGCATTCAAGTGGTACTTGCCTGAGATTGCCTTTGAAACCTGTCAATGCGTACGTTGCTTTTGTTTTCGCTGGCCCTGCGCGTAATTGTATAAGCACGTGGAGAGACAGAGAGACGTCTTCTGCAGTCTGCATGGACCGCGCAGGTTGGAGAAGTCGGGCGGAAGCGCCCCAATATTCTGCCACCTCCAGACCCGGCAAAGATTGGACCGCTACCCCGGTTGCTCGGCATGCAGAGCCACGTCGGATGCCCGGGCTTGGAACTCAACAGCAGCTTTCGAGGCTACCAACCTTTGGTGATGGAGTTGGCCACTCGCTGCCACCTTTGCCTCCCCTTCAGTGCCGAGCTTGCACTTTGCCAGATGCGCCGTCTTGCTGCCCGACTCGGGCTGTGCATTTCGGAACATTCGGAGAACACGGATAGGCAAATGCACACATCAAGAACTCCGGATGATGATGATGGTGATGATGTTCATTGAGTCTACTTCCCGTGTGCAAACTGACATCGGGTGACGAAGCTCGAGTCTTCTGCAGAATTGCTCCCAGGTCCTCTTGCGACGGGTCCAAGTTTGGAGCAGACCACATCTAAAAGGGCTCATGGTCAAGACGAAATTCCTTTCCCGGAGGAATCGCATGCACAGGCTTCGGGGCAGTTTTTCACGATCATTTTGCTGATATAGCAATAAGGCAGCAAGTCCCAAGAGCAATGCTGGCTCTACAAGTCGAAGCACCAAGCATACAGGTTTTGGTTTCTTTGAGGTTCATGGCAGAATCGTGGCTGCGTCAACTAAGGGCCCCGGCGCCGCTGACGGGAGTCACCTTGCCCGCCTATGCCGGCAGCTACGGCGGGGCCAAACAGCCCAGCGTGGCACCTGGCTTTTCTACGTCGCTGTTATGTGTTTCATGTCATGCTGCAGCCCAGGTGGAGGGGGAAGTCACGGAATGCAGTTTGGCGACCCATGGTCTCCACCATGGATGTTTGCCACTCCTCCTACTGACATCACGGAGCCCTGGATGCCAGGAGCCGCGAGCTCGGAACAACGGCATTTGTGCGAGAAACTCTGGCTTCGTGGCTGCTCCGCCGTCATGCTGAGTTCGACAACGCCGGAGATGACCTGATTGCAATTGGAGCCTGGCAATCAGCGATGCCACCCGTGCTGACTCTCTTGTGTGACTTGGTAGGCCCCATGTCGCTCAAGGGCAGGCGTCTCAAAGGATTCCTTTGAGTTGCAGCTGAAGTGCGGCCATGTGGCCCAGCGGCACAGCCCCCGCAAGCGCAAGCACCTGCCAATCTCCCCACTTTGCACTCGCCAGATCTCGCCGGCTCGGAGCCCAAAGTGGATCCGTCTCTACTCCGGTTTCTTGTGCTCGAGAAACACCGTAAATGCAGTGGAACGGCCGCACTTCTGCTCGATGCAACTTGCGCCGTGCTGTGTGAATCTCCCGTGCTGCAGCCATCCAAAAACCATGTGCCAGCTGGACAGACAGAACAAACACACGCCCCAACGACAGATAGTGAGGGATTTTTCCTGCGTCTCTTTGTCATCGTGTGTGCAGAGTGCTTTGTTGCCTTTTCAATGCAGCGGCTTTGTCCGGTCATGTATGCTTTGATGCAAGCAGAGCCGGCCGCCTCCAAAGAGCATCTGGGATGTAATTAGCGAGAAAGGGCGGGAAGGGACGGGAATAGCAGTGTGCTTCGCAGATCCGTGATCGCTGCTCGCAGGGTCGAGGCGGTGAAGGCGCCGGAAGCTGCCCCACCCGCCGTCACTGGGCAGCTCCTACAAGGCCCTGGTGTGCGACAGGACGTGGACCTGACGTGCAATCCACTGGGCGGGAACAATCTTGGGAGCAGTGAGGATCATAGCAAGCAGTTCTTCATTTGTCGAGAACTCTATGCCGAGCGCAGGGCTTAGTGTGTAAGGGCACGCCGAGTTTTTGCACATCCCTGTTGTGCTTCGTGCTGAAAGGCACAGGGCCAAGACCATGGCTCCAAGACTCGACCCTCGAAGTCAAACTTGGTTGCTGCTTGTATGTGACTGAGTATTCAAATCGCAAGGAGTGGCTGCTGTCCATTATTTCTAGCGGGGACGTGCAGCAGCTGAAGCATTTCATGGAGGAAGCTGGCCCGACAAGTAAGTGTCTTTTGGGCTGGTTTGTCAGTGTTTCGCTCGGCTTGGTCGGACAGGCAGAGGAATCTTATAAGTCCATGCGGACGTCCAAGTAAGTGCTATTGTGAGAACTTCACTTGCAGCTTCGCATGGCTTGCAGGCCTTTTACCGGCAAGGCAAAGATGCAGCGCAAGCTGGTGAAACCTGCAGTCACTGCAACGTTCGAGTCACCACTTCCAAGAACTGGTTCAGAACCAGACAGGCCGGACCTTGTCACCAGACTTGACCTGGCAACGGAGTGTGTCGCACTGTCACGAAGCCGATTCTGGCTTTGGCTACAGGCCACGGATGAGCAGCCGGCCGTCCGCTGCATGATTTGTATGAAGTGGCACTGTGAGCAGTGCCTTCTCGTGAAGACAGCGAGGAAGCCAGGTTTGCGATTTGCGTAATGAGTCGTACACGGACGGAAAATCTGAGGCACTGCAAGCAGTTCGTGAATTTGGGATTTGCGGCGCAGCTGGTCAAGCTCGAGTGCTGCGAGAAATGTCACAGAGGCGTGGCTGCTTGGTTGCAAGCGCTCAACGGCTTGACTGTCCACAGATGCGCCTGAAGTAGAACCGGAAGCGCGGCCAAGGAGGTCTTGCGATGGCGGCAGGACGGCTTCTGTTGGAACATGCTGGAATTGACTTTGGCTGGCGCGTCGGTCTAACTACACCGCTACTCCAGCAGGACACCGTGCCCTCGTGTCTGTCCGACGCTGAACGCCAGCTCACCAGTTTGCATGCAACGCCTCTTCTCGCAATTAATTGGGCCCCCATAAGCGGGTTTTGTCCTGAGAGCTCCCTGAACATGAAAGGTGTGAAAGTGAAAGCGGGACTGCGAGTAGGTCTTCTTCTGCCGTGGCTTGGGAGCGATGACATTATCATAGTAGTGGTGTTCATAGTCCACTGACAACAAGGGAAACAACTGGAATAAAACACCGGGGAAGGCAACTTTTTTTACAGCAATCCTCAAGTAGCCCTGAGGTTGTTTGAGCAGCTCACGAAGCTGCCCACAGCCCTGGCCCAGCTGGAGGGGACTTCCCGGCTCTTGGAGGGCTTGCAGACGCCTGGTTTGCATCTACCTGTCACCGGTTCTTGAAGGGACCGTCGGCATGCTAAGCTCACTACTGTACTCTAGCCTGCAACATGTCGCAGAGCACAGGGAATTTGCTAATGGTGGCTGGCCGGGCTTGCCTGAGTGCTTGTTTTCATGTCAAATGATTGGTACTTACTCACTAGCGTGTTCTTCCAAGGAACAGGGGGGACGAACCTTCCCAGCAATGCTCTCGGGAAGAACTGCAGGCACGCTCTCCTGTGGTGGCTGCTGTAGTGGAGCCTGTGCAGTACATGGCCAGGAGTGCTTGGCCGCGATGAAGCGCAGCCGTTCCAAAGCCTAAATTATGATGCTCATGTGCGCGTGGTGCGACATTGTAGTGCGACAATATAGGGCTGTGTCCAAGGCCTTGATGCAGAAGCTGCAGAAGCGGCCATCGTCCACTCGCTGGCTCTCCTGGACGAGCCATGCAGGGAGGCACGCGCACTTGGAAAACTGTTGCTGCTAATTGAAATGCGCTGTCAGTTTGCATCAGGCCAATGGTCTTTCCAACCCGAAGAATGGTCAGGTCCGTGATGGCCTACTGAGGCGAGGTTGAGCCTGAGCGGGCAAATACCATCGCCTATATATCGGAATGACTTTCAAGGCATGGACGGCTGCAGTTGGAGCAGCTGAAGCCACGCCTCAAAGCGGCCTGTACACGGGCGAGACTTGGACCTGAGAGATGCAGACCTTGTCGGGGATGAGAGGATTGGGGCCCTGCTGTAAGTGTAAGGACCCTGACATCTGCGAAAGCAGAGACCGTGCTGCCAAGATGCCGCGCGCAAACGACATAGTGTTGGCAGATGTCATCCGGAATTGAGTGCAATGCTCTGCACATGAAATTTGGAACAGAGTCAAAGGACTGTCATTACTGTTCCCAAAAGTCTTCCAAAAGAAGTCGAAACAGATGACCAACGTCATAGATTAGTTTCACTTCGATTCCAGTGCTGCAGGGTAGGAATCTGCGGTCCTGCAAGGCATTTCTGCTCATGCGAGGCGCCATCAGCAGCGCCCGAGGTTGTACAGACATGAGCCAGAGACGCGCAATCGGCTTGCCTTCTATCGGTACAGTGGCAATGGAGAAGAGCAGGGTTCTGCGTGGAATGGTTTCGATTCGATCGCATCACTTGAGGCAGATCTCATCGCGTGCATGAAATGAAGCATGACGAGTCGTTACTGAAAGCGCCTGTCGGCTCAGCTGGTCAGCTGGTCATGATGCGGACAAACCATGTTTCTACTGTGATGCCCGCCTCTCATGTTTATCCCGGTCCTGCAGGCTGTCATATATCGAAAATCTAGCGCATGTAGTGCTCGTGAACGGCTCATTGAGTACCGGTAGTATGGCCTGTAGAGGAGGCCCGGGGCATGATTGTCATGATTGTGCCGAGGTGCAGGGGTCGGATAGTTTACATGCCGACTGATCGCATTGTCCAGAATGAGGCACTTGTAGGCAGTCTGGTGTGCAGGCGGATTGCGGACCTGGTCCAAGTCCGAGACCTTGCTCCTTGCTCCCCTTTCGCAGATGCTTACGGCTCACGCCAAAGATGTAAGCGACCGCGCGCTTTCCTTCGAAGCTGCCTCTCGGCTCACAGCGGGTGTACGGGAAGGACTCATAGCCTGCACTCCATGCGCTGACGGCCAGCTTGAAGCTATGGCCACAGACAGAAGGTATGAGGCTCTCCGGGTTCTGGCATAAACCTTGCAGCCCCTTGAGCCCTGAAGCCCGTAACAAGAGGATGCTATAGGGGCCTAAATAACTACCGATACTATTTCGGGGGTTCCCTACTATAACTATAGTATAATGGGTCCCAAGATTGTGTTCGAATTATCAAGGCCCTGGGATTCAGTGAGGGGTGATGTAGAGGGCCATTGGGACCCCAAAATCTCTTGATAAAAGAGTGTACCTCAAAAACCCTCGCGCATATCATATTAGGGCTCCCTCTATGGTAGCGTCCTGCAGCCCTGGCCCTCCTCCGTGCTTTGCATGAGAGGTGAAGATGTCGGTTCCAGATGGCGAGCCTTTGCTTCAAAAGGAAGGTTAGATGTGCCTTGAATGGCGTTTTTGTGGCGCATGAAGCAATCCGCCTTCGCGGCCTTCGCTTTGTCCCAGGCGATGCCTGGCACCCTGTTGGACGTGTCGAGGGCTGAGGCTGAGGCCTTTTGGCTTTGGGAAGATCGGGAGATCTTTCGAAGAGTCCGAGGCCTGTGAGAGGTGGCTCCGAGAAGGTTCGGATCCGAGTCCCGGACAGCTGTGGCGGCGGAAGCGTCTTGGCCCTGGGCTTAGCGGCTTTTCAAAACATTCGAGACCTCGAAGGGCCTCCGGCTCGTCCCCTTCCCTTCCCGGCTTTTCGGCCCAGGTCCTGAGCCAGGCTGAGGGCAGCACCGAGTGGGACCTGAAGATCGAAGAGGCGAGGAGGGCGAAGAGGGCCGTGAGCGCTACTGTATCCTATCCGCTCGAGTCGCGCACATTTCTGGACGACGCTGAGGCAAAAACGCCTGCGCAGGACCTGCTGCCAGCTGCTGCCTGCCTAGGAAGATCTTGGTCTTCTGCTCCTGCTTGGAAGGATACAAGCACCACCAGCGAGGTGATGAGGACCGCTTCGTCAGGCATGACAGCTGCGACCCGCGAGACGGTGCACAGAAGGAGTGCGCCAGTCATCCAGCCGGCGCACGAGGACGTACTCGGCTAGATGACCCAGCCGTTCCGAGATCATCTTCCAGTGCGAAATGCAAACATCTCTGGATGCAGGAAAGCCCCAAGCCTACATTGTCTGACCAGCCCGTGGCATACACCGTGAGGTGGGCAGTGTAGGCGGTGAATTCAATTGTACAAGCGTGTCAGCCGAAAGGTTGGACACAACAGTGGGGGTTATCGATATCATTGTGAGGCCCGTGATGGCCTCTGCTATTAAACCACGGCGAAGCCGGCAGTGCCTGTGGTAACTTGTTGCCAAGGATTGGGCACCACATGGCACGCGCCGTATCTTGACAGAATATTAGAGCACTAGAACGGTTGGCCGTCCCTGTTGCAAAGACTGCAGCGCGGCCGCTACAAGATGAATGACTGTGTGTGTGTGTGTGTGTGTGTGTGTGTGCGTGCTCAGGATTCTTGGAACTGGCCACTTCGGGAGATCTCAGCAATCTCGCTTTTTATCGGGCGATCAAGGCAGGTATCGAGTTGGCCAGGAGTGCTTCAGGCTGCTACCATGTCCCCTGCCAGGGTTGCATCTCCCAATTCGGACTGCCACCAAAGCGACCGTGGCCCCCCATACCGGACGATCCACCAACAGGCCTGCAGATGACCTTCCACACATCAGTGAGACAAATCATCCAAGCTGATGAGACCCGTGCGACAGGAGTGCCTTTCTTGCTGGGCGCTGTGAGCTTTGCTGCAATAGGCAGGATGGTCTTGCAAAGTCAAATCCACGCAGGCCGAAGCCATTGTGTGCCAGAGGCCCAAATGCTCGAAAATCTACGCTCTTCATTTGCACGGGCGACATGTCCCACTGCTTGGGCGACAAGTCGTGGGACCGTGCAGGGTTCTGGAGTGCACACTTGAAAGCCGGCCAACTGCGTGGTGCACCTCTCAAGGAGACTCCAATTGGGGCTGTGGCAGAGGCTTTCTTGTTTGACCTGGAGCCGGGAAAGCCACAACTGTATTCATAGAGCACTTTCGAGTAGTTTTGAGTGTGAAGGCCTCGCTGGATGTGCTGGATTACATTGAAACAGTTTACGGCGGCCAGATCGCAGAGCAGATCGCAGAGTGGATGTTTTTTGAACGCCATGCAGTGCAAGCATCCTCCCATCTTCGCCTCCTTTCGAAGATGGGCCGTTTAGCCGAGGCGACATCGTGGAGTTTGGTGGCCAGGGCCCGGCCGGGGGCTCTTCTGTGATCGTTTCGCGGGATTCGTAGATATGAAGACCCGCAACAACTGCGGGGTTTCAACAGTCGCCAGGAGTCTATGAGCACCAACACTGAGCAACAACATGTATCTCAAGTTGATGTGAAGTGCCTGCCATATGCTTTTTTAATATGTCCTTGTCTGAGGACACAAGCAGAATAAATGCCGAGGGGTGCCTTTGCAGCATTTCCCACTTTCATCCTCAATCCACTCTCGTGCGCCTGGACGCTCTCAGGAACTTGTACCTCCAGACAAACTTCCCAAAGCTGACCTACATCAGATCAGCCACTGTGCTGGACGATGGTGGTGGGCTTACGCTTACTGCGCCTGAAGCTGCTGATGGCGAGTGTTGTCTCAAAACCTTTTAAGGTGCCGACTCCCCGCCGCCCAAGGAGACGCTTGAGGTGAAGGCGGTATTCTGAAAGCTCCTCTGGGGAGCGCGGGGTGGAGCAGTTTGAAACCAGCTCGGCTTGGTTTGTCGCACCGTGACACGAGACCGGCGACAGGAAGATCTGAGCATCGTGAGCCGCACTGTGCAGGACTCCATGCACAAGCCTTGTCAATGGAAATTTCACACACCGTTTCTTGAACTTGCTAATTCCTGCAAGAGGAAGCAGAGGGTCTGGCAAGGGCGAATGCAAGCTCCGCACAACAGGCTGGTCCTGACATGACTGACGCGTGAGGAGACAGGGAAGACGGGTCATCCGAACGAGAGGGGCGAAGAGTTCGAGTTGGAAGATGCCACTTGCAGTCCAGGCGCTGCATCAGGCGCAAGCGGCGGCTGCCACTGACTCCATGGAGGAGTTGCGGGCAGCAGTGAGGCGATGACATTGACACCTGGTCTCCTTGATTTGCCGCCCCAAGTGTAGGAAAGGGCACAGCCGAAGACATGGGAGGCGAGCCAGGCAAGCTGCCGATGCTGCTGAGGCCGCGGCCAAGGCTCGATCTGTTGAGAGGGGTCATGGAAGCTCGTCGCAGCCGAGCTCACATGTGCAGGCAGCGGAAGCTGCACAGGCGGCTGCCGAAAGCAGACACGCCCCTGTGGCAAACCATTTCAGCGTGGCACCGCAAGCGCAGCATGCCCTCAAGTTATATGGATCGTGTTGACGTTTTCCCGGCCCTCGTACTGCTTCGCGACAGTCTGCGGGCGCTGTAGGCAGATGGCTTCGCCGGCTGTGGCGATGCCTCAACAGCAGGTGGTGCCATGTACAGCGCCTCGACTTCAGACAGCAGGTTGCCATTGTCTGCCATCCTACGGCACCATTGTCCGCAGCCATCAGAAGCTCGGATAGGCCGAGCTTTACTGTAGGGGAGGAAGAGCTGAGGTGCCAGCCATGGTGCCATCGCCATGCCCAGGCAGCATTTGCACCTCGGTTCTTGTGACGCTGAGTCATGCCTTCTGCAGATGGCCCTGCGAGTAAGGATGCTTCGACTATCGGGCCGGGCACAGAAGCATGTGTAATCATCTACAGCGATTGAAGCTAAGAAATGCGGCACTCGACACCCCAGAGTAATGCACATTTGGGACGGACGTGCTATCACGCGTGGATCCGTTCAGCAGTCGCAGTCTGGCAAGCGGCAGTGCTGCAGGTTCTAGCCTGTGATCTACACCTGCCAGTCCTGGCATTTTCAAACAGACACAGATCACTTGTTCATCCTGCCTTTGGAAATGGGGGTCATGCAAATCAGGAAGGGGCGGTGGAAAACACAATGCTAAAGAGGTCGGAAGAATAGGCAGCGGGCACCGAGGGCCGATGAATCGGGCCTCAATCATGCTACGAAGCAGTTTCAGGCTGCAGTATCCACTGCGACAGCATCGTCATCCGTTGACTTGAATTTGTCATTGATTGAATCGCACGCGGGGTTGTGGCAATCTTTTGGGCTTCAAGCGTGTTGATTGACACCTCTGCTCGGCAGGTCCACAGCGAATGCCTAGCATCAGCCAAGCTCCGGGCAATCCAACTGTGCAGGCTCGGCCGACTTGGCTTTCAGCTACCCTAGGGCCCAGCACTCGCAGCTGCTCCGCTGCAGGCTCTCCAGTTTGCGCATGGGCCACCGCCCGCGTCCATGCAGCAGCCGCTATTCCGCACGAGTGCATCATACTTTGCCCGCTGCCTTCTGGGGGCAATTGCATGTGCATGGCTTGCTGTTGTCATTTGCGCTCTGCAGTGAAACTAGGCCCCAACTAGGCTATGTCAGCAAACATCTAGAGTGTGCAGCTGGGAGCGCATTGGAGCGCCAAGTATGACCGACTGCCAGGTTGCCCCTGAGACCTCAGATGCCGGCCCACGGTCAGGCACAGTTTCCTGTCTTTCCGATGTTCGAGTTTCTGTGTGGCTCACGGAACATTTGAATGCAGATGAGTGCAGTGCAGGCCATGGTACCTCCATTCATGGGACTTGCTGGCTGCAGACCCCTTGCCCCGCAAGTCGCACAGGCCCTGATCTGTGGAAGTCGAAGTCATTCGAAATCGCGGCGGTGCCTTGGCTCCAGCCCTGCCCTGTGCAGGGGGCGTTCCCTGTGATGAACGGAGGTCAGATCCTCAAAGCGAGTCATGCTCCATTTTTTTCCGGCTTGGCGGAAGCTCCGTGGCAGCTGGAGTGAAAGGATGTGCAGTTCCACAACCAGCGCCGTCTCCAATGATTCCTCAGGCACAGTCGGCGAGTAGTCTGCGGAAGTTACGGCATCGACTGCTTCGGCAGGCGCGGCCCTGCCAACTGCCCGGGCCTGCGATGGACCTCACCTGAGGCGCTTTGGCCATTCATGTTTTGTGAAGCTTCCGCGCTGAATCTGAATCGAAAGCTACATGTAGTTCGGGAGCGACTTTTTGAGCTGCACGGTTGCAAACATTACCAACATCAACAGGCAGTATTGACATTCGTTGCGGCAAGTGCTCGCACATGAGGCTTTGGAACCGATGCAGAAGTCCAAGACACGGCTCTGATCGGACGGTATCTCTTCAATAAGACTAATTACTTCTCTGCATGTTCGTGCCATTCAGCTTATCGACACCTGCATGCGTGATCATGCAGGCAAAAGGCGCCGAAGCGCTTCTCGTTATAGTCCGCTAGAGCGATGGCCTATCTCGAAATCTGCTTTCCGCGGCTATCTGTAGCTCATCTAGCAGAAACCCAGGACTGCCTGGAGAGACACATGGAAGTTCAGATTCTTGAGGTTCACTACCCTGCCTTGCCTAAGACTCCGCAGAACCTGGATGACTGCACATATTCAGGCTTGGACCGGCACATGCAGCAGATAGTCAAGTGGATTTCGGAGTCGGAAAGAGAACGACGCGCTGCTGCCGATGGCCCTTGCGGATGATCCATGGCTCAAGGTCTTTGGCTTCCCCGATTTCGGGTGCCCTGTCCAAAAGAGGGTGTGACAGTTTCTGTTTCGATCGTCACATCTTGCTTGACCAACTATTGCTTGACCTATCTTTACGTGTGTTGCACGGAAATCTTCCCCCTATCAACATGAGATATGGTGCGCGACATAGTCCGAAAACCTCGACTTGCAAGGCACATGTTGGACATGCCCTATCCAGAACGTGTGCGCCATTCTTGCTGTGCTCTCCAAGATGTAGCCCCTTGCTTGCACACGGTCTTAGTCTTGCTCTTCCGGAAGGAATCTTTCATCTTGCTGTTGCAGTCCTGATACGAGGCTTCCAAGCTCGAGGCCACGGTCCTGCAGTGCCTGTCGCAGCCTGTCGCATGGGGCAACGGCTCCAACAGCCAAGGCACCGGCATGGGCGAGCCGCATGAACACTGCCTGCTTCGCGGCATCATTGAATTTCGATGATGCTTCGCTGAATGGAGCAAGGGAAAGCAATCCTTTGGCTTAGCCTTCCAGTTTGCAAGCACGAGTCTTCGGCGATCCCAGCTTGATGATGGGATCTGCACCTCGCTTTGAGGACATTTGTGCGCTGGCAGATCAGCCCATGGATGCATGGAGCTTAGTTGTCTTGAACATTGTCCCAAACAAAAGATCCCTGAGTTGTGAGGCCTCTTGCACAGCGGGATCATCTCAGGCAGTCGGTGAGGCACGCAAGCAAAATTTAGTATACATTCAGGCAGTCAGGCATGGAGGTTTCCCAAACTTAACCCCAAAGAGAAGGAATCAACACAGCTGCAGATGGGTTTGGCAATTGGTGTCACCGTGTGAAGTCCAAATCTTCAGTACTGTAGCTGGCCGCTCTTCTAAATCTGACGCGCCTAAGCTTTCGCAAGGCTCGGGGCATGAAGCGAGCTTCCTTTGAAGCACCGTTTTTGAGATGTTACAGGCAGCATGTTCTCCTTCTTCTTCATGAAGGAATGGAATTCAAGTCCTAACCCTAAACCCCTAAATGTCCGAGTGTGAGCGCGAAACATGCCGAAACCCCTAAGTCCTAAACCCCTGCACCCACCAGGAGGCGGCGCTGATCTGCCTCGCTGGAGCCATGGATTTCGGCTCCGGCTGGCGCGAGGAGCTTCATGCCCACCATGGCCTTGGGCCCTGGCAGACGGTGCCTCTGAGCTCAGAGAGTTTCCGGACGTAGATCTCTGGGCCACAGCATTTGCGTGTGCTTTGTGTTCGCGGCCTCTCGGTTTTGCACTCGGGGCAGGGGGGGGAGGTGGGGGGCGGGAGTCGGGGACGCTGCGCAGCCTGGCACTTCTGCTTTGCGCATCTTTGCGCTCGTTTTCAAAACACCAGATCCACGCGCGCACACACACGAAGTGCGCAAACAAGCCAATGCAAAACAGATGCAAGCCAGCATGCCTTGACCAGGTTCTGCAACTTCAAGCACGCAGAACCGGAAGCAGCCTGCAAAGACTCTTTAGACTTGTGAAAGTTGGGCGGCCTTTCATATCTGCTGTCTTGTATTCGTGGTGAGGGGACTCCGCTCCAAGAGTTAGCCGAAACTACTGCTTTGGACATCCTTGCAGCCCTGTAGACCTGGTCACTGGGAGTGTTCTCACACTTGTGGAGGTGCGGGCTGGTATGGACAAAATTCTTGCAGCATGTCCAGACGGGCGCGCAGCCGCTTGCTTGCGCCGCTGACTTCCTGGAGTTCACAATCGGAGTGTTTGACTGTTTGAGATTTCGGTATCAAGGACTGGCTCTGCAGTCTTCGCGTGTCTGACGTTGCCAAGTACTTCGGGTTGCAAAGCGAGGTGGTGCAAGAGCCACTTAGATCGCAGAGGTCGCCCGACACTTTGGATGGACAGGCTGTAGATGGCAGGCTGTAGAGTCAACCTGAGGTATGTGCAAAAGCTACATACGGCGACTTGGCCGTTTCGAGGGCCAGGTAGAAATACGAAGCAAGGGTTCCCACTTCCTCCGTTTCGGCCTGCGGCTGCCGGTGGCTGCCGGCAAGGTTCTTCGCGAATTGGGCGAGACCTTATTGGAAAAGGGCTATCCGCAGCTCGACTCGCTCTCTGAGAGAGTCGACTCTTATGACGACGAGGCCGCACGAGGCAAGCACAGTTCATGTGAGGAATCTCCAAGAGTTCGTCATGTTCTCCGTGAATGGCTTCTACAAAGATGCAACAGCGGCCTCCAAGCTGGTCCAGGTGCTGGCAGAAACCTTCCCGCAGCTTTCCGAAACTTCAGATCACATTTCACTCGACGCCTCGCTTCATTGCTTTGCCATAGCCAAGGAGCTGTTTTCAGGCCCTGGCTTTCTGAGTGCAAGAGAGCTCCCTCATTGCCTGTATCTGTCATTGTCAGAGGTGGTGAGCGTTTGAGTGCATGCGGTCTGCGCATCATTGCCACCAGGATGTTGACAAGTTTGGTGGGCTACCGGTTTACTTCTACAAGAAAGCCCAGAGTGTGGTGAACGAGCTGTATGTGACCTTGCTGTGAAACATGCAGTGAAGCTTCCGTAACAGAAGAGACTTTTTGCTTTCAACTTCTATCAAGGATCTCTAGGACATGTTGAAAGGAGCGCTTCCATCTTCGAGATGACCGCTTCGAGTTTGCAGATATCAAGATGCTCACTGCCAATGTGGATCCGCTTGTGATTAGCGTTCTACGACGGGAGCACGTTGTGAAGACAACCCTGGAACCTTGGACACCATGGGCCATGGTCCTTTGGAAAGATGGTTGCATGCAATGCATTGCATGCGTTGCAGTCTATGCTGACGGATTTCCGTGTCCAAGGAGCTCACGACCCAACTGGACATGCATACTCCCCTTCCGAGCGGCGGCGCTGCCGAAGTGGCCTTGCGTGCGGCGGCCATTGCCGCGCTAGAAGATATAGCTTCGCTTCTCGACAGCAGTGTGCTCTTCGGTATGGGGGGTTCGTTCTGTAATAGCATCCCATGATTTTGCATTGTAGACCTAGACCGGCCAGTCCATGATTCTGGCAACCTTCGAATTGTCTGGAGTCTCAGATGCCAGGATTGCACAGATGAAAGGCTACGACGTTTCACCGGTGATGCTCGGCAACTACATATGGGCGTGTATTGGGCAGATTGACAAGCCGCTCTGTTTTCCACGTCATGTCACGAAAGACACGACTTACTACTGACTGCTGCGCAGCTTCCAGCTGTCAATAAGACAGGCTGAATGTCAGGCCGTCCTAACACAGGACAGACTTGGTCTCCGCTCCAGCTCACGGAAAAGAAGCGCAGTGACCGGGACCTTGCTGCTGGAATCGCTCTCCCGGCTCCACTTGTTTAGGTGACTTGGCTGGGGCCTCTGGCCTCTTCTGACATCTCTCCAGAGGCAGGAGCAGGGACGTAAGAGCTCGATACGGCTGCATGCTTCTCGCTCACAGAGAGAAGATGTGGTGTTCTGCCTGTAGAAGGGTTGGATCTTGACTCGCTTGGCTCCCTCAGCCCCATGGGTCAAGCCCGGGGGTTGTTAGTTTCTTGACAAGTGGAAGCCGGGGTGCCCGTCGGCGGTTGCACCGGAGACAGTTTGAGACGTGGGCTCAGCCAACCTTGTGCAAGTACTCGGAGTGGTGGCGTGTCGAGCTTGAATCAATTCCGACCGAGGCTATTAATTTCGAGGTCGCATGCCGTTCAGCAGTGGCGGCCATGAGCCGTCCGGCGAGTTTGAGGCTTTCCTACAGGTAGACGCTTGGCCAAGATCTTCGTGAACATAGCCTTGGTGCCGGTGTTGCTTGGATTCGAATCTCTCGTATTTGCCCAGGAGGAGCTAGGGATGGACAAGGCTGGAATCCTGGATATCCCTGGAAGCGAGCAGGAGTGGCGGGAATTCGCTTCATGCTGTCCGCAGGTGCCCGATCAGAAAAATCTTCCCGGAATGGGGCAGCTGCTCCATCAGGTCTGCACTTGGGATGAACTCAACTCAACAGATGCTCGAGCAGTCCTGCTTGGACAGTTCGAACCTGCACCTGTCAGGTTGACAGCCTCCAGCAAGTTGTTGTTGCTACCTGCGAGTCCATGACGCGACTTGTTGCAACCAGCGGCATCCACTCCATGTTTTTTCTGTGTTATTCTGTATTTCTCAGGACGACCAGTCAAGCCGGTGACTAGGAGTCTTGCCGTCATGCAGTGCAGCAATCAAGGTTGCTTGTGCAGAAGCAAGTAGAAGCGCTGAAAGACTATGAGAAGGACTCAGGGGTGAATCGGTTTCCGAGACTGCCCTGTCCCGATGGTTTCTTGGAGACGGCAGTGCATCGCATGCGTTGCCTTCCTGCGCAGGAAGCTGCCGTCTTGCATCGTGAAAACAAGGACCTTCGCATCAGATTAGCTGAATGGGAAGGCGGGCTTTCTTAGAAGCTTGGCTTGCTGCCAAATCTTGCTCGTGCTTGGTCGCTCGAGGCCATCCGATGCCCGGAACAGTTCGTGAAAAAGAAAATGGTCCAGACCGTGCTGCAGGCCGAAGAGTATTAAGTGTGCAGAACACGAAGGAGAGTTCCATAGCTCTTGCTGTGTCAACTTCTGTGGGCTGTTTCTTCTACTCCTTGGGGTAAGCGGAGTCTGCACAGGGGAGCGTCACTGTTTGCTTCGTTTGCATTGCTGTGACTTCTTTTTCGCGAAGACACAAAGTTTTTGCCCTCATGCGGATGGGCGACAGCGATCATGTGCACTGGCATGCTTGGCACCAGGCGCCGCCTCAGGGCCGCATCTTTCGACCGTGAACCGGGAGGCCTCGCTGCAGGGCCTCCGGTGGGGCTGCAAGCCGCAGGGCCATGAAGAATTCCGCTGTCAGGCCTGGGCTGACGACGCCCAGGGGTCCGTGGCCTGGGCCTAAGCTCTCGCAAGATTGCAATACAAGGCAGTGTTGTGACTCTGGTGGATGCCGGCAACTGCAACAGCTGAGGGCCTTGGTACAAACTCGGCCGGCCTTACGAATATTGTCCAGAGCTTAAGTTCAGGTAAGCACCTGCATAACACAGAAGGCCTCAGCTCCTCGCAGCTCCACGTTGCTTCGAGGTTCCGTCTCCATCACCTTCGCAGCTCAAGAGCCCACTGCCCCTGTCGGCCCAGCCGTCACATGAGGATGATGAACTTGCAAAAGTGCAGTTTGCAGCTCGAGAGGCCTGTTCAGCGGTTGAATGCTGTTGTTCAGATAGCCTGTCACCTGCTGAGAAGAGTCAATGTGGCCTGTCTTGCTTAGCTGGACGTTCTGACAGTACATGAACCCGAGATTGGCTTTTCAGGCAGCTGTGTTCGTTGATGCGGATGCATTGAAGAGGCAGCTGAAGCAGAATTTGAGCACCATCAGCTGCATTGGTCATGTCTAAATGAGTCTCACCTTATCTTTTTCGCCCCGAGCTTCCTCCCCAGGACATGCTCACACATGTGTTCGCAGCCTCAGGCAAAGAGACATACGACGTTTCAATGTACTACAAGGAGACTGGAGTATGGCAAAGGACCCTGTCGTGGCAGCTGAGTGTCAAAAGTTTTCTATACCAGAGGACCTGCTTTATCGGGATGCGCTTGCTTGTAGGACTAGTCTAGGGTCCGCAGGTTTCTGATTCGATGCCACATGGCTTCATGATCGCATGGCATGCATAAGCAGGTCACTTCAATCTTTGTGCAGGATAGCTCGGTCAAGCTTATTCGAGCACATTACTCTCTTCATGATCGCGATCAATTCGGTATGGATTGCAATCGACACTGCCCCCAGATGCAGTCAGTATGAACGCGGCAGCACTCTTCAGTCCATAGGCACGGCAAGGGGGGATTCATGAGCCTCACTGCTCCAAGGACTCAAACGATGCTGCAACGCTGGTAGATGCACAACCTGTTTTCATTGTGGTTGAGAACTTGTTCTGTGTGTACTTCTCTGTGGAGCTGGCCATCCGCTTCGCTGCATTCCGATACAAGAGGAACTGCATGAAAGACAGTTGGTTTGTCTTTGATTCAGTCCTGGTAGCGCTAATGGCTTCTTGGCTGCATCCCTTTCAAAGCTCTAGAAGCACAATCAATTTACGTGGTGCGCTTTTGGCTGTCCGCCTAGCTGTAGCGGCTGCCTGCAAGTCTCAGGTCTTCGAAACCTGGATACTCACGGTAGCAGTTGTGCCCCAGATGCAGTTAGACCTGTCCGCAGTTAGATATGTACCCGAATGGTTGGCATCACTGCAAATTCCGCACAGATCACTACATTTCACGACCACGTGAAATAGAGGAGTGTTTGCCAGTGCAGCTTTCGCAGGCAGCGATGGGTTCTGGTGCCATGAGCAGCCCCAGCTTTCTTCGAGTGTTACGCCTTTTCCGGCTAACGCGCATGGCGCGAATGGCACGGCTCTTGCGAGCCTGTCCTGAACTATTCGCTTCTTGACTTGACAAGTTACCATCGCTCCCAACGCTGCATTCACTAGTAATTAGACTTCTTGGGCTGACGGGTGCTTCGGGTGGCTGCGAGGCGCAATTTTTTTGGCCAGCTTGTGCTTCAATACTAAGGTGATGCTGAAGGCCATCGGGGTGGCCCTTCGCTCCGTGTTTTTCGCTTTGTTGCTTCTCCTTGGCGTCGTGTATGTCTTCGCTATCGTGACTTGGTTCCAACCAAAGCCTCAAGCTGTCTCGGCAGCGGCTGAGGGGGGTTTTGATCTCTGCGGAGAGTTGTATCGCCTGACACCTGCAAATCCAAGTTCTTCACACAGCTTCTCGATGGCAAAAATGCGCCAGACGGCAGGGTAGATGCTCAATTCTCGACAGTTGCCGCTTCTGGGCAGCAAGAGCAGCATGTACTGCAAACTGCGGAAGTGCATGCGTCGCACGCGGTCCGATGCCGAGGTGTCCATGAATACCTTGCTCATCAACGGGGCTTTGCCCGACCAGGGAGGCAGGCGATTGTTTGTAGGCATGTTTTATACACCTTCATAGATGCATACATCCATGCATCCATGCATGCATACATGCACGCGTGCATGCATAAATACTTGCACAAAGAAACTACATACATACACCGCACGCGGAAACAGGGTCCACGCTCCGCTAAGCGCGATAAATCCACTAAACCCGTATATCCGATAAATCTGCGCGAGCGAGAGTCGAAACCCGAAACCTCATAACCGATAAATCCGCTACATACTGGATACATACGCCAAATCCCGACAAACTCGATAAATCCGGAAAGAGCGACCCAGTAGAGCCAGGCACTCCATGAGGTTTCGCAGGCTCGCCATCAGCCCAACGGTTGAAAGAGAGTCCTTTATCAACTTTCGGCGAGCTCCATCAATCCTCGCATGTGCTACCTGAGTAAAGTAGGTATGTCGCAGGGCGCCCCATCCGTCCAAGGGTTCAATTTTTGTAAGAGTTCCGAATCAGGGGCGCCCCATCAGTCCAAGGCTCCATCCTCGGAGTTCAAGGTTTGTACGAGGTTCCGGTTTGTTGAAATCACGGGCTCCCTCAGTCCAGGGTTGGAAGACGTTATGTGTTGCATCACCAAGAAAACCTAGCCTCCGTCTACTGCTTTCGATGCTGCGAAGACAGGGTGCGCACGCAGCCCTGTCAAGGATGTGGGACTGCATGGGTCGTCAGTTGGCGAAATACCAATAGCGAACCGGACAAAGCCGCCTGAACCGCCTGAACCTGGGGTGCCTGGGGCTGGAGGCAAAGGGGTAGAAGGTGGAGCCAAACCCAAGGCCCCAAGTCATACTAGGGAAAAGAAGTCATACTAGGGGCACGGTCCCGACAAAGGGAAAGAGCGGTGACCCAGCATCTAACCAACACACTGCAGCCAAAGCTGCTGATAAGAGAACCCTTCGGAATCGGAAGGAGTCAGCCTGAGCAGGTCAAGCAGGCCGTTCGGGCTGAATGGGCGGAGACCCCTGAGCCCAAAGTGCCCACCCGCTGGCTCCTACCGCGGCTTTGGAATACCCAAAGCTCTCCGCCAAGCTTCGCGGAGTGGGATGCAACAGGAACGAGGGGTGGACCAAGCACGGGTGCAACTGGACGATGCCACCCGGAACTGGCCAAGCTGGAAACTGAGTTCAAGTTAATTCGCGAGAAGTTCATCCCACTGGAACTCGAGAACATGGTTGAGGGCGGCAAAATGAACAAAGAAATCGTTGACGAGGCCTTTGCGAACAACATTGAGACCATCCTCTCCAACAGCGAAATTCGAACTTCCAGCGGACTGTTCGCCAACGGTCAACAGAAAGGGGTCAGCGCGCTAGCCGTCCCCTTCCCCTAACCTGCCTGGTGGGATACGGAAGCCCGGCTCGAACAAGCCACTGCCTAAAGTTTGGAGCAAGGCTCAGGTGCTTCGGTTGTTCTGGTGCTTGTTGTCAGAGCAAGGTACAAGTACCACGTATGTCCGTATGTGCAAGTGGGCGTGTATGCATGCGTGTCAGTGCGTGCGTGTATGTGCGTGTGTGTATCCACGCATGTACGCTTAAACCGCGGAGATCCGCGGAGCTCCAGAACTTTCCTGTTAGCTGCGGTAAAGGTGAGAAGTGGCACATACCTTTTGTAGCATGTCAGAGATTCGAGCACGCCTTGACCAGACTTGATCAATAACCTCCTTGCGCTTGACGATGGACCCGTCTATTATGCCATGATTCTGCGGCTTGGTTTTTGTTTAGATAGCATCATATGTCGCCCTTCCTGGTGTACGCATCCGAGGACATATCTCCTGCTGTCCTCTCTCACGGCAGCTTGCTTGAACGTGCGGGCTGGGTTTGTTGAAGGTTCATTGTCGTCATTGCCGCGGCTTGCTCTGCAATGCGTCTCAGGTAATGAACATGCTCATCGGAATTCTCTGCGAAGTCATCAGTGTTGTGTCTCACGCCCTCTGCTGAGACTGTGCGCTTGCATCGAGAGTGCGACTGCCTTCCGGTAAGACAGATGTCGCGTCTTCTTTCCTCGAACAGGTGGAGAGCGAAGAAATGAAGAGCCTCGGCAGAGTTGTGGGCACTCTGGCACACGCACGGGTCATCGCGCCTGTCCAATTTTACAACTTAGCGTTGACAGGCTCAGTGCTGTGAAGTTCTCCTTACAACGGATATTGGAGGAGACTGAAGCGGTGCCTGGACAGAGACCAGAGAGGTTCTAGGCAGTCTCCTTGTGCGAGTTGCTGACAGAAGAGCCTGTGAATGATCAGCCGAGGATGAAGATGGTGACAAGAAGCTAAGCCACTGTGCAAGAACAGACGGTGAACAGTTTCTACTGGTAGTGCGGCGTTTTTCGGCCTCGAAGCTTGCAGATCCAGCCAGCAAGTGGCTAAGATCGGGCCGAGCTGGAGCTTCTCCTGAAGAATCCGAAGGCTGTGCGGACGCTGGCAGATGTTGGAGTGGATGTCTCCCGACATGAAGTCTAGTGTGTTGGGGGCCGGTTGGGGTCGCAGCCAGAAGCAGCAGCCGGAGCCTTCTTTTGAGGAGGAGGCATTTTCCAGAGAGGCATCGCATGACTCCCTGCAGTCCTGCAATCTGAGCTTGGCTGAGTTACTGGCTCTCGTTGACCTGATGGATTTCATCTTCGAACAGAATGAGGTGCATGCTGAATCTCATGCTGACAGGAGACCGTTCATCAATAGATGCGGCTGCTCTTGACAGGACCTCACTTTCCCAGAGTTTATGGACATTGTCTTGGATCTAAGAGGAGACAACGCTGCGACAGCAACTCGCCTGGACAGAACGAACCCAAAGGATCCCAAATGGACTAAGTGGTATTCGTGTCTTGCAGGCTTTGTTGCCAACCATGCATCAGAACCTGGGGATGGGTGCTGCTTTGCAGGTCAAAGATATTGTTGACCTCAGACGCTTCGCCGGAACCTCTGATCCAGCATGCATGAATTTTCTGTGTGACACAGGTGCTTGCAGGAAACACTGTTCGGCATCGGACCCCATTCGCGAACTGTAGAGGTCAGCTCACAGACCAAGAAGGTTGAACGGTTCTACAAGGCACGCATGTCCAAGATCTGGTGTTCGACGTGAGGCCGCAAGCAGTTTCGAGGGTGCTTCTGCTCCCTGCCACAGGAAGCTTTCAGATCACCTTCGATTCTGAAACCAGGGCCACCTTCAGATGAACCAAGCCCCACTCTCGCCGACGTGGGAACAAAGACATGTTGAGCACTGTGAGAGCAGAGCAGCGTCTTACGCTCAATGCAAAGGGCGGAAAACAGACAGCTCAGTAGACATAGTGCTCGTTCTAGAAGGCAGTCCGGCCAGGGGATGTTACGACACAGCGCTCAACTCCATGCTTTCATTGTGCTGCTTCTGCTTTTTCGAAGTCTTTCCTCGCCACGATCCCCCTTAACCGGCTGCCGGACGTTTCACCGACGGTGCCGCGAAGCGACAGCAAGCTGCCTAAGCCAACGACTTGGCTCCACTGACTTTTGCCAATACCTTTCCATGGAATCTATTGAATGTATTGCATGCCAGGATCAAGCACTGGTACCTCGCAATCGAAATTTGGAGCCAGCCTTTTCCATTCCGTGCTAAGTGTGAGTAGCGTCGCTGATGAGGGGAGCACGCGGAAAGTTGCGCTCCGTCATCAATTTTTCTGATCCCTGTTTTTTTGCGCGGGGGTCACGAGGATCCTCCCCTTCAGCGCATGCGCGATCGGGTAAGATTTCCTAAGCAGAGGGGGCGTTGGGTGAATGATGTACGCGAGACCAGCAGTCGTCATTCTTTCAGGCAGGTGCTTTCACTTTCCATTCCAACGTCACCGGTTCTGAAAGACTGCTTGTGGACTTGGCTTTGAAGCGTTCTGGAAGGACTCGTTACAAGTGACTGTACACGAGCATCAGCATTTTCCCATCATGTTTCGAAACAGTGTCCAAATCCCGAGGAATTGCACGTACATCGCGCTTCAAAGCCCTGACAGAGCTGTCCAGGATCACGAGAATTGCTACTTGCAGCCTGCAGAGAGTGCTTTGGATCTTCAAGGTTGTGGCCGACCAGACTCTGAATGCTAATACTGGTATCGAAATATCAATATCTCAATCTCAGGTAGACCGAACATGAGAATTTGACGTCGTGTCGGCCAGTCTCGTGGAGCAGGGGCCCCCGCCAGATGATGCCAGAAGAGCTGACGAAGGCTCAGGGCCGAACCCGCCGCCGCTGGACATTTTGCATCTGTGCCTGGCCTCGTGGAGGAGTTAGAAATAGGTGGAACAGAGCAGCAACTGCTTCAACGGACCTTGGGTAAACCAAGGGAGCGGAACGACATGACTCCGGAAGATCCAATGGTCCAGAGTTATGTATCCTTGTCGCTCGGGTGGGCGGCCATGGCCATGTCTCGTCAATACGAGTATAATGCAGCTAGCGGGCTTAGCGAGCTCATAGTTACCGGTAAACCAACGCTATACCGCAGAAATGCGCTCAGAGTCGCCAAAGTGTGTACCTTCATGCTTTGATGAGCAGGTCGAGTGTAGAACCAGTGAGGTACTGACTCACAACTGTGATGGGAGGAACTGGTAGTCGGAATAGCATAGCGCGCCAGTGTTGTGCCGAGATAGGACTATGGGTGTCTGCTAGAGCCTCGTCCCGTGAACTCATGTCGTCGTAGTATCACACCAGCTTTCGATGGCTGCCGCCACGAAGGGAGAAAGCTAAGAATAAGAGGATTTCCAGATGACTGCAAAGGTAGGACTGCAGGTGTAGCTGTCCAAAAACCAAAGCGACGTGTTGCTGTGGTGTCTACAGGCACATTTGCGAAATGCCTCGCATATCAGCTTTTGCCAACTGACAGACCGAGTTTGTGTGCTGACCCCATGCCTAAGTGCATGTGCCGAAAAAGTCCGCGATGCTAAGTTCCGGATGAAGGTCGAAGTGCGTCCACTTCGCTTCAGACAGAGCTGTCACGTTTGGGGCTGTTCTTGTTGCCCCCTCCTGCCAGGCAGGATCTTTCCGCAGGTCTGCTTCTTCGAGAGTTGAGCGCCTGCAGGGCCGCAGGTCAAGGAAAGGACCAAGGCTGCCGGGAATAGACCTTCCAGCGGCTCGAAAACACGTGTGAGAGTGCCGTTCGGCTGTGCATGAACCAACTTCAAGACAGCAGGGTTTGGTCCGTGAGCACTTTGGTTGACTCCTGCATTAGTCCAGAGCCGTCTGGGTTCTTGGTTCCATCTGTACGATCTTCAGAGAGCGAAGCTTGGCAAAACATTATCTGTAGCTCTGTATTGGTGCCAGGGACTCGTGTACATGTTTTGTCAAGGAAGACCTGCTACGGAGAGCTAAGGAATTTCGCGAACTGCCACTGTTATGAAACTCAGGGCAGAAACCAATTTCCTCCTGCAGAAGCAGGTGAAGCAGGCGATGTCTCTCTGTGTCTGCAGCATTGGCATGTTCTGCCGTGCGCTGTGCCTGCCCAGGCCGTCGGACCTCTAGAAACGGTAGGCTCCGCGATTCTTTCCACGTTAGCAAGGGCCTTGGTGTTGATGAATCAGAGAAGAGCTGCCTCCATCGGAGCGCACCTTAAGTTAAGTGGACAAGCATTGACAAGCATGTCATCTAGTCACCTCAAGCGTCACAGTTGCGCACGGCTCGAACCCAGGCCTTTGCCGCCACGTTCTGGTGCCTCAGTGGTAGCATTCGGTCGTCCTCGCCAGCGGTTGCGATGTCTCTTGGCTGGTGTTGGTGCAGCGGATTGCAGCGGTTTGAGCGCGGGACGTCCCACGTCCCAAAGTCTTGTACAGTGCCATTACTAGGCAGAGGTTTTTAGAGCCTGTTCGGCCAATGTCAAGGGCACAACTTGGACGGCATATTTAGGTGTGCTTAGATCTCCTTCAGCGCACGATTGGTTTCACAACGCATGAGACTCCCTCAACGACAGGCTGGTTCCCGCCGCTTTGGTCCGCCTCTCAGTTCGATCGTCCGCGGCTTTGCAGAACGGGCCTCTGGCCGTCTCTCCGTTCGTGCGTGATTGCCGGCTTGGCTTTGGAGGCAATAGTTGCACTGCTCGCCAACTACATCGGCCTCGCCGCTTTGCTTCAGCTAGAAGTTTACAGGACTTGCAAGCAGGCCATTCTGATACCTACCCATGTCTGCAATGCTGTTCTTGTTGGGTCGCGACGTTGAATCACAAGCTGGACCGGCTTCAGGCGAAGTTTGCAGATCTAAGATGACAGATCACTCACACAACAAGCATGCGACCCCATGCGACGGATATGAGATGGAACACACTGCACAGGAAATGCGCAGCACATGTTTCAAATTGGTGCCCGCTTTTCGACATGCGTCAACTGCATTTACGGCTGCGTCGCCGTTGTGGGGCATTCTGCGTTCGACACAAGAGATCGCAACGCAGTGTCGGTTTATGTCTCTGACGGTCGAGGGAGCGCTTGACATCTTGATTGCGTGATGCACGGGAGTTAGTATGTTTTCTTGAGAAGTGGTCGGTGGCTGTGCAGCTTGTGTGTTTGAGTGCCAGCCGCTCACCTTAAAGATATCTTGGGCATCTGCTTGCACATACTTGTAGGCTCTGAATTGCAAGACGGCGTGGGACATGCAATCAATCCGCCTGAGCTCGTGGGCTTGGGCACGGGGCCTCTGCGACTGGGATCCAGATTGCCTTATGCATCTTGCGATGCTGGACATGCGGTTTCTGCGCAGCAGTCGTTTCTAAACAAGACTCTCTGAAGTGAATGGTGTGATGGAGTTGTAGCCATTTGCCATCTGGCGACAGGGTGGTATCGTGCGTGCAGGACCTGTCGACTGCCAGATCGCGAAATGGGCGAGAGTTAAGTACCACTGCAGTTCAGATGGAATCTGATGCGAGGCCGACCGAGCGGGCCTGCAAGCTGGTGGACGGAGCCAGGCGCCGACCAAGGCTTGTGCGACTTCGTGATTTTCCCGTCCATCTCGGGCGATTCCACCTGCCGCCGTGGTTCATCAGGCCTTTGGAAAGGGCAATCAACAGCCTTCGGCTGCAACTCCTCTTGTTGGGCTGCACCGCTAGCGCCAGAGGTGTGATAATCTCGGTGTTTTGGGTGCCAGGCTTCAGGGTTCTGCCCTGGGCGCCGCATTGATTTGCGACGATATGCAGCGCGGAAGACCGCAGCACCAGCGGTTGTGCCGATGACCCCAAGGGCCCAGATCCGGATGTCTTGGAGTCAGCTAGGCTAGAATAGACCCCTAGACGAGCGACAGTTTTGCGCTCAGTGCATGCGTTTGCTGAAGTCAGGTCGGCAACCAGTTCGGAACTAGTTCTTGAATTGGCCCTGCTATGGTTGCATGTCGGGACTTAAGTGCCATTACGCGCAGCAGTACGCCCACCCCGCCAGACCTTCCACATGCTGGTAGCAAGCCTAGCCATGCCCTCGAGACTAGAGAGTGCAGCGTGATGCAGCGTGATGGTACGGTTGCGATATGTTGCGATTGGTGTGGGCAGGTGCATGGGGCCATCACACACACGGATTGCGAGCGTGTACACATTTTTTTATCCGGTGCCGGGCATCTATCAGGAGGTTTTTCTCAGAATTCTGGTCGTATGATGTCGTATGTGGACCCATTGCCGTCAACGCCCGCCTGGTGGACTTCAGATCTCCCCGCCCGCCCTCCCCGATTTCGCGCACAGGGGGATGGGAAGACATTGGCCCAGGCGCAACGTTTCCGTCGCCAAGCCTTCCACGTATAAAGTCTAGCCCTGCCTCGAGTTGGTGCCGTGTGATCGTGTTGTCTCGTTGAGATCTTCCGGGAGCTCCCCCTCATTGAATACCGGGTCCCGCACTTTTGCATCGATCGAGTCTGCTGATGCCACTCCTGCGGATCGGCCCTCGAGAGATGGGCTCGACATGTGCCGAGAAGGCTGCCTCGGAGACGACCCTGTGTTGGAGGCCTGACGCACTCGCCTAAACGTGCTCTTGCCGTCGGCTGTGAGGGATCGCTGGGTTGATTGGGGTTGCTATTTTCGTGCTATAGTCGGTCGCTCACACCTGCCTGCAAGTGCTAGGATATTCAGTTCGGTGAGACTAGGCTCCACCTTTACACCGTTTCGACACTGGTTTTGGGGTCTACTGCATCTGGACTTGCACCCCTCTCGAGTGCCGACGTTTTGAATGCGGTGTGACTTTGTCAGCTGGGGCGGGGTGCTAAAAAACGGGGTTCCGTTGGCCTGCGAACTTGGGTGCGGTCCTCTTGGGGCATGTGGAGTGATGAACTCCGCCCCTTCGAGAGGGGTATCGCGGTCGACGTCTGGGTTTGCGAAAGGACGATCAAACTCCTGTACTACTAGATCAGCGTGCACGCCGCCCCTCTCAGGGTTGGATCAACTTCGCATATCGCTGTCGCCTCGGTCCGGCATGGATCCTGTTTGAGACTCCGAAAACTCACCCCAAAGGAGCCGCTCGTCTTCCGTCCCTCCCGGGAACATTGAGGGATGAACTCAGCCGTCGGGTCGGTCCCTGGACAAGTACACGTAGGACGCATGCCAAGGTATGAAAGTATGAAACCATGTCTATCCTTTGCATGTCGGCGTGCGAGCTGAGACGCAAACAACCACAACCCAATTTCGTCCCACAAGATCCCACAAGCATTGGACATGACGGGAATGAGCATGAAGGTAGCCGAAAGTTTCCAAGGCCAGATATCGAACCCGGCGGCCAGCGCGGGCTTGGCTGGTTATCTCGCTGTCCTTGTGGGCGGCATGGCTGCAGCCGAAGCTTAGTTTCGGGCCCGCAGATGTGTCGGAATTCTTTTGAGAGCTCGTCTCCGAACCAAGGCCGCTCTTGCAGCAGGGGCCGCCGCGGGGATGCACTGAGAGTCTTTAGGTCTTTCGGAGTTGGTTTGGGAAGATTTGTACAGTAGTGCTTCATGGGAATCATACTCCTGGCGTTAACGGGATTCTGGGTCGGAAATCTTCAACTGCGAGAGGCCAGTGCGATGTCGAACCCATCCTTGGTTCTGCGAGGTTCTTGGAAACAACTATTGGTGGACAGGAGTAGCCAAGTACAACGAGTACCAGCAGATGGCCAACTATGCTGCTCACTTGAAAACAAAAAGACATGGACCTGGACCTTTGTGCGTCATCATCCCCGCCGTGTCGCACCGTGTTGCCTTGCTGGCCCAGGTCAACGTCGACCCTTCCGTTGACAAGGGCACCTCCTTCATGGATGCTGGCTCTGTGTATTTCAAGGACTTGCCCATTCTGTGAGTTGCAAGCGATTCCTACGGTAACGTCGGCTGTGCAACAGTTGAGACCTTGGCCCAGGACGGCTCTAGCGTAGACTTGACCAAAGCAATCGCGTTTCGGAATGGTTTGACATATTGCAACTTGGCTGGAAGCGATGTGCGTGTGACTTGTGGAGAGAGGCACGGCTCCTTTGCGACCCAGCTTGCTAGGTGTGGCTCCAATATATTCCGAGCCTCTGGAAGGAACGGGCAACGAGCGAAAGACCGCAGCAGGCCTCCGCGATGAGCAGCAGTTCCAGTATATCCCAGAGTTTCCCTTGAAGCCTTCAGGTTTCGTGATTCCGAAGAGCGGTGCCTGGGCCAAGACAGATAACACAATCTCTATCGTTCTGCTTCTTCGCTTTAGCTTTGTATTTGTAGCCGATTGTAGCCTTTCTTTTTCAACCATACTGCTTCATTGCTGGTTTGTTCTTCTGCATACTTCGAGGTTTGCTCAGCTTCTCGTTAAATTTGAACAACTTCGAGCATTGATAACTTTGCTGCACTACTTCTGTCAGTCTTGTTGTTACAAGCTGTGATCATTCTTGCTTGGCTGGCATCGCTATCTGGATATCATAGCCGGACCCTTGGCATTGAAGATGACACCAGCCCGGAAGAACAAGCAAATTCAGAGTAGCCAGATCCGCGATCGCAGAGAACCACGCAAAGCTCACAGCAGGAACCACAGCAACAAGTGAGTGAATTTGGGTGACCACAGCTGGCTGACTGTCCATCTCGCAAACTTTGGCCGCATCAAAAGTTTGCCCTCGACTAGTAATCCTTGTATTCTAGTACAACAGCTGCAGCCACTAAACAGCAGGAAACATCGTGAAATGGGCTGCTCGCCTAGCGTAGAAACTGCTCAATCGTCCTGGAAGGGGATTTCTGCAAGACTGAATGCAAGCTGGGAATTCTACATCCGGTTGTGGCGCAATCAGGACCAGGGTAGGCGCCAGGAGCCCTTAGAGGTGGCAGTAAATGATCGAACTCGTGGCGCAGAGAAGGGAGTTTTGTGACAGCTTGTGTCCAGATAAGAGCAGAGCAGATCCCAGCCAAGACAATCGAGGCAGCCTTGAAGAACAGCAGCATAAAATCCCAGACAACCGCCACCGATCATGACAAGCAGTGAAGAAATGCACGCGAGAACCCAAAGTCTACGAGCCACTGACGGTCCAGGCCATCGACTGCACAATATTCCCCGCTTCCACAGGTCGTAGATAAGGCTCGGCGGTGCGAGCCACGAGTCATCAAAGCACGACGTGTTTTCGCAGTTCGGGGACAGCATGGGCTGCAAGAGCAGGTGCCCGGAGTAGACGCCCGAAATGAGACACGGCAAAGTCGAACTCGAAACGAAACCCAACGAGTTGCAGTTCTGCCTGCACTTCTACGATGTTAAATCGCTGAGCCCAACTCGCACTAGGAACTCTGGACTTCTGGGCTGTTGGCACAGATTGCTGTGGAACGACGGGAACTCCGCTTCTTGGCGCTTGAGAGCTATGCCTGTGGATGTTTGTTTTCACGAACTGTTGGCGACCTTCAGGTTTGAGTGCCATGATGCCACATCCCCATTCGCCCGCTCTGGCCTGCGGATCGTAGAGGACAATCACAAGGCCGTCCGAATGAGTCTCATGTGATCTCCTCAGCAGAACCGGCACAGAATCCTATGAGGCCATGTACCAGCTGGCGGTGCAGGAGACGACGTGTATCGCATGTGATCTGATGTGACAGAAGCACGCATCTCTGGTTGACCCGGGGCTTAGTTCATCGCAGACCCTGCTCGAAGAGACGCTCTTAGCATCTCTTGGCCCAGCTGCCAGGAGTGGACAGCAACGACTGGGATCCCTGCACGGAACCCTTTGTTCTTTCAGTGTCTTGACTACACAACTACACATCAAATACAGATCACTTGTTTGCGTGGTTGTTGCGTTTTTGTCGCAGGTGGGTCGTCGATCCCATCGCAGTGGAGGAGCATTACAGAAGTCCGTGCCTTCACCATGGGGCCCAAAGCAAGTGCGGACATCGTGCTGTGATTGCCAAACCATGTGCAATCAGGCCTCTCCAGCAACAGCATCTTCAAACTGACATGTGGCTACGGTATCGTAGCTCGGCGGAAATCGAACTGGCTCCTTTCGCAGTTGCCAGTGTGTTTGCACGGCCGATGAGGGGTGTCATGGTGCCAAGTCGGTTTAGGGGGTAGCAGTGTGGTGGGATCTGAGGCTGCATTCTTTGCTGCCTACGTGCTTCACATGGTCTTCCGCCACTTCAAGGTCCTTTAAAAGGCCTGGCCAGTCTTGTCCTGTCCTGCCCTTGGCACAGGCTGGACGAGCCGTTAAATTTTCAGAAACTGATGTCGCTGTGAATGCGCAGGCTTTGCGCTGCTGCACATGCCTGATGACTTCATGACGAAGGGTGTGCACAAGCCCTGGTTCGAAAAGACCTCACATGGTTCGGTCGGATGCAGGATTTCCCAACAGCTTGAAGCAAGTGCAGAAGCCGATCTTGATGTGTCAAATCTGAAACTTGTGTTCCGCACGAAGCTGCAGTAGCAGGCATCAGAAAAACGTTGTGTCCATAGAATGCCTTCCAAGACGGTGTAGGTGGCAAGCAGGAAGAGAATTCTTGCAATAATATAGCAAGAAGACATTTCCTGGAAGTGGTTTGTATCAGCCTTGGTCCCATGGATGCTCTGCACGTTGATCTGGACGTGGTTAAAAACGTTTTACATGGACGACGGCTTAGGCGTACTTTGCCTTGCTCGAGTTTCAGGCTTCCTTGTGCACGCCTGCACCCGCTACCCGCTACCCGCCCCAACGCAGCGCATATACTGCTCAGAGGTTTAGGCGGGGTTCCGCTCCACCTCCCCTTGTGGAGGCCCCTGCATCCGAAACATGAGTAGAGTCGTAGAGCTGTTTTAGACCTGGTGCGCTGCCAGGCCGTGGGGCCTGGGAGGTGAGCGGCGTGACAAGAGTCCGCACTCTGGGACCCAGCTGCCAGGGCGGAACCAACCCCTCGAGGAGATATCCGCTGCTCCCGTTTATTCAGAAACAGGTCTTGGACGTGATGAAGTGTCACTGGCATGATGCTTGCCTTGTGCAGGATCTGGTAGTCAGAACCAGCCATGCGGATAAGATTCAACAGGAAAGCAAGGGCCTCAAGTTGGACATCCTGTCGCAGACATTTGAAAATTGAGTTTTGTGTGTGTGGGTGGTGGTTTAGCCCCCTTCAAGACAGCGCAGCACGTTTGACCGAAGGCTTTGCGACGAAGTCTAGGACCCTTCGAGCGCCGGAGGATCTCAATACTATGCTCGTTCGGCCAGCACCTTATCTTCTGAGAGGCTGCCTCGCTGATCTCGTTGTGCGCATTCAGAGGATCATGCATCAGCGCTGTTTCTGGCTTTTGAGGATTTGCAGTGTGCTTCACTGTGGTCTGTATGGTTCAGGCCAGGCTGAGCAGCTGAGTTCAATCCTGATCATTGTGAGAAGATTGTATTCTTTGTGCGACTCCTTGCGTGGTTGACTGGAGGATTTTTCAGCAAACTCCACGAGAAGCGTGGCTGCAAGAATTGCCTCAGACATCACGAGTACCAGGTGGCGAAGCCCCGTGCTAGCGGCCATAGTTTTTGTGTAAGTTGAACCGGATGGTGGCAATGCTTCTTAGGTACAAGACGATTGTACGAGGATGAGCTGACCACTAGCACGACCGTTCCAGAGCTTGGTTTTGGACCATTGCAGCATCCTCTGCCCTGCCCCGCAGATGGGCTGTCTTGCAGCCAAGGTTGCCCCGAACTTGTATCCACCAGACCTGTTGCTGAATGAGCCTTACGAAGACGAGCCTACAGGCGGGATTGCTCCGTCTGCTCCAGCCCCTACCCGAGTTGCGGCCCCATGAGCAGGCAAAAAGTTTTTGGCCCTGCTCCACTGCATCGGCATCGTCCGGGCCTAGGATGAGAGCCTCAGTACCCCCCCTCTGGCCTATCTTTAAAGCTGTCCGGAGTGCCTCCCCATTGCAAGGCCTACATGGTGTTGGGTCTGAACACGGTTTGTGACGTGTACTTCGCGGGGGCTATTGACCTGCTGTGCGATGCCTGGAGTTTAACACCCGATGTCGCCGGCGTTTCTGAGCAGCAGCTGGAGACTGTCCACGGGCTTGGAGCAGGGGCTTGAGATTGTCACGCTTGCGCCCAGCATTGTAGCAACACGAGCACGAGGGGCAGTAGCGGCACTCAGCCCGGAAGAAAGAGTCATCAGTGGCATCAGCAGCCAGGGAGCTTTGTTTGCCTGCTGGAGTGGTTTTGGTCGGATGGCTGGCATCGAGAGTATTCTCCTGTTATGCCAGGGTTGATATTGGCAGCAGTATAAAGAATCATGGAGTAACTGCTGGTTGTTCTGCGGTTAAGACCGGCTTATCATCATTTTGGAATTTGAGGCCTTCGCGATTAGGAAGACAACGCAATCTTGGCGACCTGCAGGTGTTGGCTTTTGGCTTTGGGCTCTTGAGTTTTGAGCCTCCTTCGTTGGCATTGCACCACTTTCGAAGAGTCACTTTGGGGCTTTGGGTTAGCGAGGGCCCCAATCTGGGCTTCGTTTTGCGAGAAAGATGATGGGCGAGATGAGGCAACCTGGATGGCTGCTGGTGGATCAGCTCCAGAATTCTTCACATCCATGGTGGGAGCGACGATTGTGACGACCCTAGTAACCCTAGTATGTAGGTCTTGCAGATGCGCTGGGGCCACATCCGCAGTCTGAGTCCGGCTTGAATTTGCGACGCAGCAGGCCCAAAATGACGTGGGCTTCGGCACCATCGTAGGATCGGCCGTTTTCAACGTACTCTTCGTGATCGGACTGTGGTCGGGCAGCATTGTGCGATTTTCAAAATTTTCATACAAGCTTTGAGGCGCGTGATTGCTGGCTGCTGATCTGGGTGATAAGGTGTGGTTACGTGGCCAAGGGCAATATCGAGCTAACTTGGTGGCCACTCTTTCGGGACCGCCTGCTGCGACCTTTTGCATTTACGTATGCATGCCGATGCTGCAATCTGCACTCCTGGAACTCGGAAGGACTGCACCTATTATATTTGCTCGCTGGCCGTGCTGGCATCCTTCACCTACAACCAGACAATAACTGCTGGGGAGGTGCCTGTGCCCCGGACTCTACGAAGCGATGCTTGACACGTGTGCCTGCAGGCCATCATTCTTTTCTGTTTGTATCTAGGCTCGCCTCTCAGTGTTGTGCATAGACCAGTAGCATTTGCTCTGGCTGGTACATCGTAGTGCTGCGCTTGCAGAGACATGTTGTGTTGCCAGGCTATGTGTCCTTCATGTTCATCAACAGGCCTTTAAATATTTGGGCGTGGCTTGAGCAGCAATCGGAGGCTTTGAAGTAGATTAGATCTGTCTTCACCCTGTCGGATTGACAAGGTATGAGAAGACAGGCACTCCTTTGAACAAGGAGCTTCGAGAATATGTCGAGGAGCTCAGCAAGACGAAGGCCGCTAAGGTGGAGCCTGAACAAATCGGCGGACCGGAGCAGGAATTATCCGAAACAGTCGCTTCGGGCTCATTTGCGGTGGGGTGCCGTCTTCCGTGGCCTCGGAATTCTTCGCATTCTTGGCGGAGCCTTGTCTGAGGCTCCCGAGCCAGCAGAGCCCGGTGAGCCCGGCGAGCCGGCCGAGCCTGTTCAGCCTGGCCAGCCTGGCCAGCCCGAGTCCGAGGAGCGACCAGAGACCTCCAAGGACGACGGCATCAAGGAAGACAGAGTAGTGAGCCAGGCCAGGGCATTTGGGATGACACGGAGGGGAGGCGCAGGGCTTCGAAGACTTGAGAGCTGCTGGGTCGAGGAAGTTGGAGAAGCGGAGCCGGCGGGTGACAAGGCCCGTGCAGGGTGCGGCGTGTTGTTGCCGTTTTTGAAGCCCTGCACTCCTGGGTGGAGCGTGAAAGGAGGCGCAGGACATAGAGAAGGCAGATCCTTCCCCTGCGGCTCCAGAAGAAGAGCGGGACGATGACGATGACGACGACGACGACGAGCCTGAAGACTTCTTTGTCATGCCAGAAGGCTCTTTGTCTTCATTTTGTATTGTTTTTGTATTCACTGCAGTCGTTGCTTCGGCTGGAAACTTGACTGGCCTGAGGCACGCTGAACCGGATACTCTGGGGCCTGAGTGTGCCCCTGTATGCACTTTTATACTTCTCAATGCCGCAGCCTTACTAACGCGCTTTTTGTCACATGGAGGTGTCACACTAGCAGCTCATGGCAGCTCGAGAGCAGTGAACTAAGGCCCTGGCCTTCCAAAGGCTCCAGAAGTTTCCTGCGCATCTTTGGAATGTCATTGCTGTGGATTGGTGGGTTCGCGTTTCTGCTCGTTTGGTGGACCGATATCGCAGCCGGCCGAGTATTTGGAGTCTGCATCTTCAAGCTTGTCAAGCTTTGTCACCTAGCTTTTGCACAGAGAATGCTCAGGTAACGACGGTGGTGGGGGTCTCGCTCTCAGCTGCCACTTTGACGTCGGCAATCTGCTGCACCCCGGTGCCCAGCACAGAGTGCCGCCGCGAATCACGCCCCAACTCTCCGAGATACCCACCATCGTCTCCAGCGTCACCTTCCTGGCGGCCGCAACATCCATCCCGGATGCAGTCAGCTCCATGGCTGTTGCCCGAAAAGGAGCGGGGGGGGGGGAAACAAGAGCAGAACGAGACCTTGCCGGACACGAGAACACTGCTGCGCGTACGGATGCACCAGGACAAGCCGACATGGCGGTGAGCTCCTCGATCGGCTCCAACATTTTCGACATCCTAGCAGCCCGGCACGACAACTTACATTGTGGCACGTCAAGAGAGAGAGAGAGAGAGAGAGAGAGAGAGAGAGAGAGAGAGAGATCAGCTGCTGATCCCCGGAGGCCCATACCCCTCCGCAAGCAAGCAAGCAAGAGAGATCAGCTTGACGACCCCTAAGCCTAGCAGAACGAAAGAAAGATCAGCGGCGGCCGCATGACTCACTGCAGGGGGGGAACTTTTCCGGTCACTACTTACAGCTTTCTCCACAAACCGTGGCTGTGACTGGAAGACTTCCTCGTGCTGTGCAAGCCGAGCCTCGGGGGATGAAACGTCCCGGAGGATGCCAGAGGACAGCCTGCGAATAGCGGGTGTGCGCTTCGCACGGGGGGCGGGGCCCGGATGCTGCCCCAACCCCCAAGCCCGGTAGAGAGAGAGAGAGAGATCCGCAGCCGCATATCTCAGTGGACTTGGACCGTTACAGGCTTCAGCATCCCACTCGCTGCCCCGTGCATCATGCTGTCGATGAGGATGATGGTAATGATGGTGGTGATAGGGAGGAGCCTGCAACCCATTGATCTCCAGTGAGCACCGGGCTTCCAGGACGGAGGCCTTGAGGCAACACACGACAGAGCAAACGAAACACCAGACCGGGGCGCTGGGTTTGCTGATGCACAGGGTTGCGGCCCCACTTCAAGCTCTGCAGGATGGAAAGGATTGTCCAGGCATCCGTCTACCACGTTTTCCACCAGAGAATAAGATAAGGATTGGATTTTCGAAGCAGTCTGAAATTAAAGGAGAAGCCCTTGGCAAGTCTGCGTCCTCCAGAGATGTATCCGTGTTCTGCGGCGAAGGCCCACAGTAATGTGGCCTACTGCGGGGTGTTGCGCCGAACACCGTTCACAGGGACGGGGGGTGTCTCATGGCCGGGAACCATCTCTGTTCAAATCCTTGTCGCTGTGAGGACTCTTGTCTCTGAAAGACTGGCGCTGATGTGACTGAGGTCGGACTGCCAATTCCTTGGCTCCTCAAATGCACGCTCGAAGCAAACAACCCTGAATTCAACGGTGTGTCAATTCAGTCTCCTTACTTGATGTTTTATACCTGCTTGCTGCTTGGGATGGTTTTTGGAACCGTCATTAGTATCAAGCTCTGCGGCTGGAAGCTGCAGAAAGCACTGGGTGGCTGCATGGCGGCCCTTTATTTTGTGTTCATTATCACCACTGTGGTGGTGGAGCTTTCTAGACCGACGTGGTTAATGACGAACCCACCACTGAGCTGATGGATCGCCGTGGTGGGTCAAGCTCCAAGTTAATGCGATGCCCTCCTCTTCGGAGAAGAGAAGATGCAGCGAAGCTGCGGGCATGGAAGTTTTCTTCTGCAGAGTCTTCTGGCATACCTGGCCCGTAGCACTTCGATGCACATGGTCCGCACCACCAAGTGTGCCAGCAGAGCCGACAGTGTGAGTGCATCCGTCTGCGATTTCCTGGATCTTTCAAGCTAGATCGCTTGCAAGGGCTTGTTTCCATATGGCACCCACTGAACGAGCTCTTCACGTGCAGGCGCAGCACGGTGTACTCTCATCTTGTCCTGCAGAAAATGCAGGAATTACATGTCTTTACCGCGATCAGCAGCCGAATGAGTGAGAACCGGGCATGTCCGGCACTTACAGCCGGCCGGCTGGGCCAGGCATGTTTCACCGGAGCATGTGCAGACATTTCCAATGTTTCTATTGGTTACAGCTGCTGCTGCAACGATGACAAAAAGCAGCCACTCCTGCAATGTGCTTATCAGCAGGTGCCGTACTGTCTTGTTGCAAGTATTTCCAGCAAGCGACGGCTCGTGGGGCAGCGCTCGAATTTCCCGAGTGATCCCTACCTTACAGCTTGCGCTTGTTACAGCACAGGCAAGAAGCTTGACTTAAAGCATGGAAGCGCGCACCACCCTGCGGGATCATCCAGATTGACCTCGAACCAGGCCAAGCCTATGCGCTTTATGACGCCATCCCCAGGAGTCAAAATCGACGAGGCCTGACGCTAGAAACGAGAAGAAGCAAGATAATTCGGTAGCAGTCGCAGAGTTCCAGAACAGCGGCGCCTTTCCCGGAAGCAAGTTTTACCTCCAAACACAACGAGCCACGGCCACAGCAGTGGAGGTTTGTAGCAGGCGCCTCGGAAATTTCAACGACTGCGCGGATTGTAAAAGAAATTCTAGTTGCACTGGGCAGCATGTCTTGGCTCAGACACTGCAGCATGTGGAGAATAGCTTGACACGCCCGTCCATCCTCTGGGCGGAGTGACCTGGTGTTGAAGCCAGAGCTTCTGGTAGGATCCAGTTTTGCGCTCCGGTGTTGGTCACCTGAGGAGACTTCTCTCATAGAGGCTGGCGGGCTCGACTGCAGGCACCGAAGACTTGGCTAGCACACGACATGCTCTCGTCGTTTGTTGGAACAAGCCAAGGGGACCTCAGATGCGATGGGCCTGGTGCGCTTGAACAAAAAGGTGGGGGCCAGAGTCATCGGAAGGTCAAAGAGTGGCAGTTGGCGTCCCCACATCACACTGGACGGGAGGCGCTGCGAAGCTTAGAGCCGTTTCAACGGAGAAAGATTTCCACTCTCAGCTCAATTGGACTGGGCCCCAGAAGTCAAAATCCTTCACCTAGGAAGCCCAAAGTCATGTGCGCATGTTCTGCATGGAGCGCTAAACTGTGTGGTCTGGTGTCTTTCGCCGACATGAGAGGCACTGCCGACAGCTGTTAAAAAGAGAGGTCCTAATCCTAGTTTGCCTACCTGAGGAATTGCTCTAGCGTTTTGTCTGGTCGCCGTGATCCAGGCAAGGATGCCCAGGGCATTTCGAAAAAATCGTAGAAGCTTTTTGTGCTGTCTGGAGTTTTGGGTCCCTGTTAGCGTCGAAGGATCTATCCAAAGATCCGTCCAGCGGCTCGGCTATGAATCGGGCGCAATTCAAGCTTCTTATGATCCGACCGATATTTAGTCTCCTTGCACACGTGTTGCAGGTGGGAGCCGGAGGCTTTACGAAGATGATCCCATCTCCGTCACAACAGCCCTTCGCCGCAAACAGTCTTCGTGGGATGACTTGCTTGAGCTCTTGTGCATCAATAGCCCTCAACCCTGTGAGAAGCGGAAGAACTGAGAAATCTCCGAGCCTCTATCCTGACGACCTGCTCCTCAACAAGCCTTATGAGGACGAGCCAATAGGCCTTGCCTGCGTGGCTGCGACTGTCATTTGTCCTTCTGAACAACCTGACAGACTAACTGTTGGTGTCATCCGCAAAGCGCTCAGGGCGGAAGTTTTTGATCCTTTTTCACTGCATTGGCATTGCCCGCAGCTCAGAGGAAGCGAAGGGTGCTCTCTGTCTCTCTCTCCTCTCTCTGTCTCTGTCTCTGTCTCTCTCTTGTAAACGAAGAACCTCGTCTGGCTTGTCCGAGTTGCGAGAGCGTAAACGAAGCAACCTGAGGCGTATTTGGTTCTCGGATTGAACACGGTGTGCGACGTCTACTTCGCAGGATCCATAGACTTACTCTGTGATGCCTGGAGCTTGACACCGGATGTTGCTGGGGCAACTTCGTTGCACAAGGGTGGCGATTTGAATCGCTGGGTTCTGCACGGATGCGGCTGCTGCACACTACGTCACTACGTATTGCCAGGATCCATTTAATACGTAAAGGTGTGGGTGTTTGTGGGTGTGTGCAGGACGAATGTACCTTCTATCCTGAGCCGGATCAGAACTGCATATAGCTCGAGCTCTCGTGCCGCGGTTCCATTGAACCCCGCTCGACGGCAGTGATTGTAACTCGGGGCCATCATATGGCACAGCGTCTTGTGACGTGTCATGATATCCCGTCATGTTGAAGTCTATCGTGATACATACGTACACATGTTGAATATACACGCAGGCACAAGCATTCAAGCATGCATACATGCGCACACGCACACGCACAGACACACACACACACGCACACACACACAAACACACACAAACACACACACACACAAACACACACAAACACACACACACACACAAACACACACACACACACACAAACACACACACACACACAAACACACACACACACAAACACACACAAACACACACACAAACACACACACACAAACACACACAACACACACAACACACACAACACACACAAACACACGCAACACACACAACACACACAACACACACACAACACACACAACACACACAACACACGCAACACACACAACACACACACACAACACACACAACACACACACACACAACACATATATATATATATATATATACATACGTATATGTGTATACATGTGTAAATATGTGTGTACATGTTTACACAGGTACACATGCGCATACGCATGCATACACACACACACACAAATACTATATATATATATATATATATATATGCGGGTCCTCCTGTCCACCTGTTTGCTAGTTTTTGTCTGCAGACCTCGCCTGGAATTGTCCGAGCGTGAGTGTCACGTTTACGTTCGAGTTGCAGCAAAGGGTATCATTCGTTGCCGGTGCCCGGACATCTTTTATGATTTCTTCGGTTTGTGGTTGTTTAGTTTCTGCTTCCGCTCTCGCCCCCGCCGTTCTGCACGACTTCACTGGATCTCTCTTAGAGGAAATGTTTTCTTGGAGCCCAAACCGACAAATTGGGTACCGGGCGCGGACCTGTAATCAGATCAGACAGCCACCAACACGTCGGAGGCAACCTGGATGGCAGCTGGTGGATCTGCCCCTGAATTCTTCACATCCATGGTTGGCGCGACCATCGTGCTTCGGCTTCGGAACACTTTGAGACTGCATTACATGGCACAGAGCAGTCAAAGCAAGAGCGCAGACCTCTGACGGAATCCTGCAGGGATGAGCTCAGGCCCAGAATGATGTTGGCTTTGGTACGATTGTTGGATCTGCTGTTTTCAACGTTCTCTTTGTCATTGGCCTGCTCTTTAGACGCATTGGAGCCATTGGAGTGCGACTGTTGCAGCGAAGAGTTACATATGCGTCAACTTGGCATCTGGAACTCGCAAAAGGTGTGGGAAATCTGCCTACGTTGCTGGATGAAACACATTGGGTAGGCAGGGATCGGCTTTCCAAGGTGTGGCTACGTTGCCAAAGGAAACATCGAGCTGACCTGGTGGCCTCTCTTTCGGGACACCCGTTTGCGGTGGCTCACGCGATCTTCAACTGCTGCACTGTGGTGAGTTGTGCCACGCAGGATTGTTCATACTACATCATGTCCTTGGGCGTACTGGCAGCTTTTACATACAACCAGACCATTGCAGCATGGGAGGCCGGGTTTGGTGAGCACTTGACAAGCAAATGCCCAGGTTTAAACGCAAGGCGTAAGCATAACGCTTTTTGAAAAAAGAATATCCTAAAGAACAGAAAAAAGAAACTAGTTTATGATATGTATGCCGTTTTTCTGTTAGCAAGTTGCCACTTGAAGAGTTTTTTGAAATACTGTGAGATGACCGATGATGTGATGACATCACTACACCAAAGCGTATGCAAATAACAGATGCATTGGGAATGTTCAAAAAGGCAAGCAGGCGGTGAGGTAAAATAGGTCATTTTGAAGTAGGGGAGGTTGTGGTGTGTAGGTTGTACAAGGAAATGAGAAACACAGATTTCGGGTGAAAAGAAAATAGATGAATAAGTCAATAAATAAGCACACACACACACACACATATATATATATATATTATATATATATATATATATATGATGTAGGTGCCACCCCCCCCTCCCCCCCGCACCCCATGGTATCCTCCCCCTTCCCCCCCGGCCCCCCCTGTGGTGTGGGGCCTGTGGTGGTACTCTTTTTGCCGCGACGTTCTTATGTGTTACTTCTTGTCTTCCCTCTTGCTGTGGCACCGGTGATACTGCTCATGATGTTGTGCTGCTCTAGACCGGGACATGAGTCGACAATCAGACCATGCTCAACATCATCATTGTCGTCGTCATCTTCATCATTCAAACCTTCAAAAGAATATCTGCCACCATCACCATCGCCATACAACCCTCATAATTCAGCATTGCAATTCATGTTAGATGCTATTCCCAGTGTGGCTGTTGGTCGTACTTCCGCTCTCGTGTTGCTCTGGGCTTCGCCACCGCATGTTCATGCTTTATTTGGTTGAAAATCGTGCTTGGCTTGTGATGTTCTTGCGAAAACTGTAACGACCGTTGTCATGCCAAGCTAAGTTTCGGTTGGGTTCGTTCAAAGTCATGTTTGCTTGATTTTCATTCGGGACTCTTGAGCAAGGGACTGGAGGAAAGTGTGGATGGGGATCACGACCACCATCTTCGTCATCATCATGATCACCATAACATTCAACACTATCATTGGCTTCGGAGTTCAGGGCAGGTCGAAGTTCAGTGAACGGTATCACATCCTCTGCTCCAAACACTTAGCAACTGGACGCCCGACCAGCCACAGCCATGCCAACCACAGGGGGGAGGGGCGGGGCAACCCACACCACAGGGAACCACAGGGGGGGACGGGAAATACCAAGGGGTGGGGGGGAGGGGGTGCCTAGCAGCGCTGCACCATATACAGAAGATTTTTGTAGTAGAGATGTGAAGTATGAGGTATATGATTTAAAGTTTTAAAGAACATAAGAAGCAGCGAGAAGTTCTGGCAGATAGGGAAACAATCATGTCCGTCGGCATGACTGCAGTCTGTCTGCTTCAAACTGGGAGCATATGGCGCCAAGCCTAAGGCGGGTATCCTCTTCGCCCTTTACATTGGTCCTCTCCTCACGGACGGCTGAAAGAGGGCAGAGACCATCCGTTTTGTCAAGACACAGCGACTGCAGGTTACGTTTGCTTCATGTTCATCAACAGGCCGTTGAACATTTGGGCGCACCTCGTCTGGAGGATCAAGCGTTGCATCACGAACTCCGAAGCGAGCCGCTTGTGGTTCGTTCGGCTCCGCAAGGTACGAGAAGACAGGCACCCCCTTCCCCAAAGAGCTTCGCGAATATGTGGAGCAAATGAAATCCAAGAGCAAAGTGGAGCCAGAAGAAGTGGTCGTGCCCAGCACGGGTGCCCCACCGCCAAAGCCTGGTGCAGATTCAGAGTCCTGCCGGCACCAGGTTAGCCAAGCTTGTGTGTTATGTGACCATGTAAGTCAGGGCATCTCTGTTGACGACAGCCCCACTAGGGACTGTGGACTCTCTGAGGAAGCTGAACGGCCGGAACCGGCAAAGGACAATTACATGAAGGAAGACCGAGTCGTTGAGAAGGCCTTGTCCCAACGATTTCGTCCCTCGTGTCACCAGCAGAACTACAGGAAGAGCCCAAGTAAGGCCATGGTAGTTTTGCGATATTTGACCGTGTGTGTGGAACACTGGTCAAAAGCGAGAGACCAGTGCTCCGGAAGCTTCCGGAACCCTTCCGAACAGAACCGCTGGACTCATGTTGAGCCCATCCGTTGCTTCACAGACATGTCCGTTCTCTGACACGAGTTGTAGTCTCTTGGAAGGCGAAGCCAGACGACGAGGCGATTCGGATTGTCAAAGAAGTTCAAGAGCCAAGGTAATGTGTGCAACGTCCGTGGTACCCTCGTTTTATTCTTGCAAAGGAGCCGAAGGATGTGGAGAAGGCAGGCACTGCCACGGCGGATGGTGAGGACGATGAAGAAGACGACGATGATGAGCCTGAAGATTTCATGATTTTGCCCGAAGGTGAGAGGCTAAGACGTTCCGAGAGCATGGGGAAGCTAAGCTTCATGCTGTTCTGCACTGCGTGACTTCCGACTTGAGGAGCCTTCAACAGAATATTGTGGGGCCTTGCCCTGCCAGTTTATGTGATGTTGTACTACACTTTGCCGGAGCCTCGAGAAGAGAGTTCTGGCACACTTGGCATGCTTCGATGTTGCTTTGTGCAGTCTCAGGCCTTGGCCGTCCAAGGGCTCAAAAATGTTCATGCTTACATTCGTCATATCCTTGATCTGGATTGGAACTTTTGCCTTCTTCCTGGTTTGGTTGACAGACACCGCATCTTGGCAACAAAGCGAGACTCCGAGACAGTCACGCGGAGTTCGCGTGGGTGAGCAAGACGTGCCGAGGTGACGACTGTTCTTGGGGCTTCAGCCTGAGAGCGTAGACCTACGATCGCAGTGCTTGCAAACTTTGCAGTTTGTGATTTGATATGACTTGATGCCTCGGACATGTTGGCATTGTAAAAGTTTCTGCGCAGATACCCACTATCGTCTCCAGCGTCACATTCCTGGCCGCTGCGACTTCTATTCCCGATGCCGTCAGCTCCATGGCCGTTGCCCGAAAAGGACACAAGCGCACAGCGGGCGTTCTTTGCCGGATGCTCGAGGTGTAGGCTGCTGTGTAGCTGCTGTGGTGGTTGTGCAGGACAGGCGGACATGGCAGTGAGCTCATCCGTTGGTTCTAACATTTTCGACATCCTAGCCGCTTTTTTGCATTTTGCTAGAGCTTGAATCTTTTTTTGGTCTGTGCTGGTTCTCAGGGAGTACTCAAAAGCGTTTCGAATCTTCCTCGAAACTGCTTCGATGACCATTTCAGATCGACGGTCGTGGATGGGAGGGAGGGAGGGAGGGAGTGTTAAACAGTTGAGGCCAGGAGACGTGGACACCGTGTAGCCTCTGGAAAGCAAGTGTCTTGTTGCCAAGGTCGGATTGCCAGTTCCTTGGCTCCTGAAGTGTGCGCTGGAAGCAGACAACCCTGACTTTAAGGGTGTCAGTATCCAGTCTCCTTATCTGATGTTTTACACGTGTGTCCTCCTTGGGATGGTCTTCGGCACTGTCATCAGCATCAAAATTTGTGGCTGGAAGCTGCAGAAAGCACTGGGTGGCTGCATGGCGGTCCTGTATTTCGTCTTCATCATCACGACTGTGGTGGTGGAGCTGACCCAACCGGTGTGGCTAATGACAAACCCGCCGGCATAGGTCCAGTCCCGAGCAGCCATTCACAACTTTCAGAGGAGGGGGGAGTATGTTTGTTTAGAGTGGGGCGCTTCCTGAAAGTTGCGGATTGGGGTTGCCAGCTCATGACAGCTGCAGTGAACTTCAAGTACGACGAGGAGCGCGGAAATCCTCCAATTAGCATGCACATGAATCCAAACCATTTTTGTGGAAATGCTTTGCTGCTGAAAGGGGCACATATTTAGCATGTCCATCCAAAGCAGAGTTCGAATGATTTCACATGCTTTTTGCTCTGTGAATTAGGGCAACGATGCGTTTCACCTGACTATATGCAATGATTGGACCGTGGCTTCTGTAATACAGACCATGAGTCGAGGTTGACTTGCGTTCCAGCAAAACGATGGTCCAGCAGTCGATGGGCCGAGTCGCAATGGAGGTCGTAGGTCCTACATCGGATGAGGGCCGGCAGAGAGCTTGATTGGAAGAGGCTGCTCCTGAACTAGCACCCAGCAACTTGAGCTTGAGTTCATCTGGCTCAAACAGGAGCGTCTACGCGTTCCTCGTTGCCTGATCAATCCTGGTAGCTTCAAGTTCCAGTTTCAATCATGCGGGGTCTTTCGCTGGCCTGGCGTGGCTTCTTGACGGTGCATTTTTGGTTCGTTACGGATGCAGCTCGCCTCGGCGAGGTCCGGGCTGGCGAGGCCCGGGACAACTTCAACGCGGTGCAGGAGCTCCACAGGCCCAGAAGGGGGGGATACCGAGCATTTGCTATCCTTTTCCAGGGGTGGCCATGCCTCCTTGTTTTCGTTTCTAATTCGCATCGCAGCATCTCAGTCGGACCTGAATCTCAGAACGATTCCGCAGGTACCGCGCGTTCAACGAAAGCGGCATCCGCTTGCTCATGGAAGGCGAAGACTTGCCTCTCGTGGAGCCGTCCAGTTTGACAGAAGCTCCTCACAATCACAAAGACGTGCAGCTTCCGCGTGAATGGCGCTCGAAGTTGCAAATCGTGAAATGGCTAGGTGCCGGCACCTTTGGAAAGGTGTTTAAGTGCAAAGTTCTTTGTGAGGAGGGAAGGGATGTTTACGTGTCCGTGAAGTACATCGAGGAGAAGAGCAAGCTCGTCAGAACGGAGATCGGCGTCCTCGACGAGATGAAGGGTTACTCAGACTTCTGCATTTCAGCGGTCGGATCGGTTTCGCACATCGAGGATCGCAACGGTTTCTGGATCATGATGCCGTACATGAACCATGGGGACTTTCATGACTTCATCAAGCAGTGCCAGAAGAACCCACAGTGCATGAATTCGGGAAGCAAGGAGGGCAGAAGAGACTTCACAAAAGTCGACCCTGCCTACACGGACGCCTATATCCTGGTCCTTTTCCATGACATCGTCGCCGGCACCGAGGCTCTGATCAAAAAGACCGGGAGGATCCACACTGACCTGAAGCCGGCAAATGTCATGGTGAATTGCCAAAATCACATGTGCTTTGCGGCTGTTATCGACCTGGGGCTTGCATGCACGATGAAGCCAAATGGCTGCCACCTTGGAGGCACACCAGTTTACATGCCACCAGAAACCTTCATGCAACGAGTTGAAGCATTGCACCTTCCCCCTCGAGATGTTTGGGCTTTGGGTGTCATCCTGTACCAGCTGGTCTATAACAGAAATCCTCCTTTCTTCTCCAACCCACAGAGCATGGTTTACCGCTATGATGTTACGAAGGACCCTACGATCGCAGGAACGAGGAAGGTGGATTTTCTCATCATGCAGATGTTGGCCAACGACTACAAAAAGCGCCCGGCCCTGGCAACCATTCGCAAGGAACTGGAGTTCTTGATCGAAGAAGCAGCTGCTCCTCCCATCACAGGGCCGACCTTTAAGATCGGAGACGCCGTTGAGTACTTCAGTTCTTCTTACCTTCAGTGGCTCCCTGCAACGATCACTGCCGTCAAAGACAGCAGCCACTATGACTTGAATATCAAACCGGATGCTCCTGTGGAACGTCTCCGGCCCGGACAGCTCCATGCCGATGCCTTAGCGGAGTTGAGGGTGCTTCGCGATGTCGGCGAAACTGACGAGGCACACAGCATCCCATACGAGAAAGGCGATAGGGTCGAATGGTGGAGCAAGAAGTACCAGACGTGGCTTCCCACCAAAATCATGTTTGCTAGGCCTGACGGGACTTATTTGACGGACGTCGCACGTATTGCTACGAAAGAAGAACTGCGCTGGCCAGTGGAGACGACGACTACTGTCAGCACCACTATGACTATGACCGAGACGGTCCCCATCGAGGTGAAGATGCTCCGCTCGAATGCCGTCCAACGCGGTGCAGCCTTGAAGATGCCGTCTTGTCTCTGAGATGCAGACCACCTAGGAAACTCAGCACGCTGGATTCCAGATAGATTGCTCTTATTTCTGGGATGGCATATGCTTTTGCTTTCGAAAATTGGGTGCATCAGAAATATGAGTATTGAGCTGAATCGTCAAAAATAATTTATAAAGATCTGGTGGGAATACCAAAGAATTCCAAAGCTCGAATAGACGGTCTTGTAACAACTTTTTTTTTTTTTTTTTTTTTTTTTTTTTTGTTTTTTTTTTTTTTTTTTTTTTTTTTTTTTTTTTTTTTTTTTTTTTTTCTTTTTGTTTTTTTTTTTTTTTTTTTTTTTTTTTTTTTTTTTTTTTTTTTTTTTTTTTTTTTTTTTTTTTTTTTTTTTTTTTTTTTTTTTTTTTTTTGTTTTTTTTGTTTTTTTTTTTTTTTTTTTTTTTTTTTTTTTTTTTTTTTTTTTTTTTTTTTTTTTTTTTTTTTTTTTTTTTTTTTTTTTTTTTTTTTTTTTAGTGTTTTTTTTTTTTTTGTTTTTTTTTTTTTTTTTTTTTTTTTTTTTTTTTTTTTTTTTATTTTTTTTTTTTTTTTTTTTTTTTTTTTTTTTTTATTTTTTTTTTTTTCTTTTTCTTTTTTTTTTTTTTTTTTTTTTTTTTTTTTTTTTTTTTTTTTTTTTTTTTTTTTTTTTTTTTTTTTTTTTTTTCTTTCTTTTTTTTTTTTTTTTTTTTTTTTTTTTTTTTTTTTTTTTTTTTTTTTTTTTTTTTTTTTTTTTTTTTTTTTTTTTTTTTTTTTTTTTCTTTTCTTTGTTTTTTTTTTTTTTTTTTTTTTT